TTGATTTTAAAAAATCAATTTTTTTACATAATGAATTTGAAATATTTCATACACTATACAATCTCAAGTGATTCAACACAACAGCTCTGCCATGAATTCCACTTTTACAAACCGTATAATGTTATAGTTTAAGTCGCTTTAAAACACTGAGGTCAATTAGAGTAGAATTAGAAATTCATGAAGGTGTTTCCTAAACTTCTTCCCTTTCTTTTTAAATGAAATTGACAAAATAGGGAGAGCCTATTATTACACCCATAATGAAGTGTAGTTCAACCCCACTGCAAACTGAAATCTCAAAGAAAAAGATGTAGTTAAATGAATCATAACTCTTCCATTTCATAAATATAAAGGCAGAACGTAGCTAATCACAAAAAAACAATCTCATGTGGATTATATGTAGATTATTTCTTAACACACTGACTGAAACAAGCTTTTAAAGCGTCTTTCATATTTGAGATGTTAATGTCAAACATGAACTTCTCTAAGATAACTTGAGCCCCCAATTTCTCTGCCCCAAAAGTAAAGTGGACGTGGCCTCAGTGTCCTCGATGCTTACTTTATTCAACTATGACTGGAATCACAAAATTATCCGAGCCTTAACAAAAACAAAATGAAATGTTTCTCCTGAGGAAACTGTAAACCAGATCTTCCTCTTGCACACTGGTGAAGTGGCCCATTTTGAGGCCTTGCAAACTGTGATTTCCTCGCTCAGCCATTTAACAGTGAACCTACCCACCTTGCATGTCTGTGTGTGTATGTGAGGGTGAAATTACAGAGCAGTATGTGGTTAATTGAACAGGGAGGCCTATACTTTTGCTCCATCTCCCCCCCCCCACTTCTCTTTCTGCCTCCCAGGTCTCCTTGCAGCCAATAGGAGCAGACCAACGCCAGTCTCAGACCATGATGAAAAATTCACCAGCTTGTGTCTCTCTACCCTCTCTCTCTCTCTCTCTCTCCCTCAGTGCCACATTGTCAGCTTGGCTTCAAGGCCTATCGCCTGCTGTGCTCCTGTGCCAAGACTTCTGGGAGGAAAAAAAAAACAGGAAAAAGTTGAACTAAAATCAGGCGATTTCTTTTTTTCTTTCTTTTTTGGCAAGTGGCGTCTATCCTCAGGATGTTTGGGAACAGAGCTGGGCTGACAAAAAAAGCAATCTAACTGGGTCTCATATGACACTCGAATAAATATTGCAACACACATTCGGGCATTGGCCACCTCATTTTTTTAGAAAAATGAATTTGTCTCAGATTACAGCCCGCATTGGAATGAGTTTTTGTCACCATATGCATCACTTCACTGAGAGGGCTGGAAAATGAGGTTAAAAAGCGCTTTTGGATTGGAAATGAAATATTCATGAATCAAATTTGAATAAGCTACAAAATAGACAGCTACCCAGATTTGTAGGTAGGCTGCTCAGCAAGAGTATTTTGGAAAGTCTTTATAGGGGTGCCTAAGTATTGAATCCGGAGCTATTTTGGTGTTGTCTGGGAAAGCACAGCCTGATAGGAGAGTTTTAGGCAAGGTACCCAAACACCTTGTCTGAAAAAAAAAGTCCAGCTAAATAGGCTCTGATCGCCTTGCATATATTCAAACTGTTCAAGTGAGCTTTTAAAGCAGTAAGTTATAAGTAAGTCCAACATGATGGCTTTTTTTTTTTTGTTGCAATAATCATCCACCCTTTTTACTGTTAGGAAGTCAAATCCGCCCCAGCCTTGAAAGAGAATCCCTCCTTAGGGATCAATAAAGTCATTTTTAAGTGTTGCACAGTTTGTCTCCAGTAAACACCTCGGCTGTACAATGTGCCATCCAGTTTCTGCTCTGTAGCTCCCTGTATCACCTCGTCTGGTCCTTTTGACTTTCCCTTTGAACTTTCAATGTGTTTCAAGTTTTCCTATTCGTCTGAGTCTTCGTCTTCAAAAGTGTGCTGCAAGATAAAAGGAGTGAAGGTGCACACTTCAGTCAACATCGGAGGAAACACACTGAACTTGTAAAGTAAGTCTTCCAAGTGAGAACCAAAAGTCTGTCCATCCGTCCATCCGTCCCTCCGTCCATCTATCTATCTACAAATATGTCAATTATAATTTTTGTATCTGGAGATAACACAAACACAATCAGTTTCCTCCACTGAGCTGAGTCTTTTTTTTGTTGTTGTCTTTTCAGAAAACGATCCACGCCCTGTGCACGCATACCGACCCCTGACCTTAAAGCTGTGAAGCCGCACGTTAGTCTGAAACGCTGCAACAAAAGGTGACCTAATGTTGCTTAATTAGTGCCAGATGCAAAAGGTAATTTACCTTGATATGCCTCTCAAATATTTAGTAAGCACAAGCCGCCCTCCCCTGTTTGTCATGATAGCCCCGAGCACAGTCATGTGTTGTGAGTCACAGAGGTTGAAACAAGCTTTAAAGAAATAGAAGGAAAGTGAACCTGATCTCCCTCTGAGACTCTGCATGGTGTGATAGCGTGGACCTCACCTGCCTTAAGGTGGATTTAAAGTGTCATGGCAGTTGATCTGAGATTTAAAAAAAAAAAGAGGGAAAGACGGCATAGAGAACATCTGATTACAACAGTTAAATAAAGAAATCACACATGAATGTGATAAAGAGATTATAAGCGTACAATTCTAAGCTTTAAAATAAATCGTGGTTTGAAGAAATAGGTTGATATTTCTGTAAATTCATTCATTTGATTTCTTGTTGAGAATCAGGAGACAAGATACAGCTAACAGGCCGTCCACTTAGCTTAGCATTAAGACAGAAAACGAGGGGAAATACAAACTTAGTTCTGTCTCTCCGAGGCAAGAGAAAAAACAACTCTTAACATTACAAGAATATTATATGTGGGTTTATTTAACCATCACTTGTTCCCTTTAACTCTTTTTGTGTGAGGTCATATAAGGTTAAACTGAATGCTAGCTGCACTAGCTTCACATCTAGCTCACAGACAGACATGAGAGTGTTGTACGTTTTGTTATCTAACTCTGGGCATGAGAGCCTATAGCTGGCATATTTACAAAAATGTTAGAGTTCTTTTCAGATAGAGACTTTAAATATGTTTTTGCCACAAGCAACACAGAAAATTATTTTGCATTACACTGTATTGTAATAAACTAATTAGCATTTTTTCAGTAGTGAAATATTGCTAATACATGTATTTTGTAAGTTTGACAATTTGCACATTTTTAAAATCAGTTTTTGAGTAGTTTAAATTATGACTTGTTTTTTATCCTTAAAAAAGTAGGCCAAGAATATATATGTTGCCACTCTCGGGTAACATAACAGCAGAGTAGATTAGTGGTGTTACAAAGGGTAAATAAATTAGATTTTTGTGCACGCGTGTGTGGAAGTAACATGTAAGGCCACCCCTGCATAAGTCAGTTGGGCCACCCCAGTCAGAAAAGCCTGGACACGCCCCTGTGAATGTTGAATGGCATGTTCGGAAACATTTGTTGTAGTTGTCCGTCTATAAAACTTCATATTGTTCCAACAAAACCTCATCCATCTCGATGGGTCCATTTTGAAGTATTATAGCTCTCAGTTGTTAAACATCATCCTCTGGTATATTTGTGTTGTTAGCATCATCACTCTGCCTCTATCCTCCTCCTCCTTCCATGCTCAGTAAAAATTAATAATTTGCTCTGTGCACATAGTGCTGTGTAATAGTTAAACATTCAAGCTCTTCACTGAGAACTTTTCACCCTCTCCTCTGGGTGTTGGCTTTCAAAACTTATGCAGGCATGAAACCCATAATGTCAAAACTTCAGAACCGCATTACGGCCCTTTGAGCCACAGCATCAAACTTCTTCAGAGCTTTTTTTTTTAGTGTATAAACTTTTCAATCTTTACTTAAGAAGCTTACTTTCAAAGGTTCAAGTCTCAGGGTAAAAAACAGAGGCTCAACCTTTCATTCCAGAAGTTAAAACTTTCAGAACAAGTTTAAAGCCCAGCAGCAGTCTTTAACCACTTCATTCCTTTTTTTCATTATTAGAAACAAAGACTCAAAAACAAGCAGATTTAAAACCATTCCAGCCACAGGGTCCCACCAGTCAAGACACTATCTGAAAGTTTCAAGAACTTGGCACTCCATATCCCAGAGTCAGCTCAGTTGTTTCCCTTTCACACTGTTTTCTGAGTGCTCTTCAATCTTTTGCTGACTGCTGACAGAAGCACTCCTAAACTTTGTGAAACTATCTTAGTTTGGCTCCAGTAAACACACACACACACACACACACACACATATATATATATATATATATAAATACTAAAGCATATACAGTAGTTTATTTAAGCTGAGTTTTACCTGGAAAAGGATCCTTTATGTTTCCACAGAATAAAACAACAACTTGTGCCAAGATCTTTTTCAAATACGACAGAGCAGAAGAGATTCAGTTTTGTGTTTTAAAAAGAGAGAACAAATTAAACTTTTTTTTTACAGAAATAGTCATGGATTATAATATTCTTGTGGGTCAACTTTTCAATGTGAAAATCTGGGAGAATCACATCTCTGTTGACTGTAGAGCACCTGCACGGCACCAAAATACTGTTTGCCAAATTAAGCATCTAGATAGCAAACATGTCAGATCATTTAGCCGCTTAAGAGCCTTAAAACTGTTCTCTAAAGAGGAGATGAAGGCAGAGCTAAAAGAGTGAGACTTTTAGTCATAATTTGAGGTTTAAAACGTCATGTCAATCACTGTAAAATACTACAAATGTTTGTCTGCTGCCACCAATTGGCCAACAATATTGTAACAAAGCTTGAAGTGTTTGATGGCTTCATGTGAGTGGTGTATTACTGGGTAGAAATGACTCGGCTCACTGTCGGAGAATGATATCACTGCCTTCCTTGATTCCTCTTTTACAAGAACAAGCGGGTAAACAAAATTGGAGGGAAATCAGAAATGCATGCGTTCATATCTCCAGAGCTCTGTCTCTATTTACCTTCAGCTCAATATCTTAAAACATGGAAATACTGTATACAATAAGTCAGTCGACAAACACAGAGGGCAAGTTCAAAGCAGTTTTAATCGCATTAAAAGTTTCCATACAGTCATTTACAAGTCTAAGCATTTCCTTTGTTAAATTGCCATTTTAACTCTTATCTTCTTCTTGCAGTGTCATCGTGAATTAAACACCAAACACAGACCATGAACACAAAGTCTATTTCCTTCCTGACAAACCCACACAAAATTGAAATCCATGGTTAATTATGTGTTAACAAAACGAGTGGAATCCATTTTCCAGACCTTCCGGACCTTATTGTTACATAAGCTGGTAAACATTAAAAAATTAAAGTTTCTCACTTTATTTAGCACCACGTATCTCAGGATACCTCCACATAATAAAAAACCTCCTCAAAGTGAAAGGGCTTTTCTCTGTAGATGAGCCACTATCAGCCTTCCGTCTCTTGCCATGGCCTCTCCAGATTGATCTCAATACAAAGGCTTGGAGTGCCTCATGTTATTGGCGCAGGTCCGGCCCAGGTTGGCCCCCGCCAGGAGCAGATCGGAGAATCGGTCCAGGCCGAGGCAGGTGGTGAGGGGGCTGATGAGGCCGTAGAGGGCCCCGAAGAGGATTGCGAGGGGCCAGCCGATGTGAATCAGAATCACCAGCCAGAGTATGCACCAGAAACAAGACCCGCAACTCGCCATCCTAGACTGAGGGAAGAGAAAGATTAAAGTTTCTAATCAAAGTGGACTTCAGACTTGTCACTACACTCAAAAGCCTTTTTCACACATGCACTCCTGAGAAATTCTAGAAGATCTTAGGATAGGCCGTCCCCTTCACAGTATCAGGAATCGAGTGGTAGAACACTATGCTGAGAAAGAGTATGATTCTTCTGCGTTCACACATCAGACGCACGCACTCATATTAGGTGGGGAAAACCTGAAAAAATTGGCCGTTTGCGTTCACACATGCAGCCCACCCTGAAAAATGTGGGTCATTTTCAGGAGTTTTTCTTGTGTGTGAAAACACTAAAATGGAGTTGGTCAGTCACTACAAGAGCATCGAAGTGTTACTTTGAGTTTCCTAGTCTCTTCAGTGATGATTGGAGATTATCAGATTGATACACACCCTGTTGATGATCTGGATGTACTTGTCGGGATTAGGCATTGGCCCTTGACGAAGCATGATAAGCTAGCCACGCCAAGCAGTAACCACCAACCACCCCCGTTGAAGTGAGCGTGCCGCCCTTACGTGCCGTTGAATACCAGCACTGGCACATTAGTCACCCGCTAATAGCAGATCAGCAGAGATCATGCATAACTTCGGTAATGAGCATTACCTCATCTGTCAGTGCAGATAAACAGCAGCCAGGAGTATCATGTGCTGCTAATTTGAGCTATTAACATGCCTGGATGCTAAATCAGTGGTGAAAAATTACTCATTGGATGGAATGTTGTGCAACTTATGAACCAGCCCCACCTGATGATTTAATGTCTGGAGACTTTAAAACAAGACCATTTTCCAAGAAATATGAAGCAAGAGGGGCTTTTTTTGTGTGTGTGGGTGTGGGTGAGAATCCACCAGAACAATCTGCCCTGAGGCCCAGCCTTGAAGTTCAGATTGTAGAACTGATGCTTTTAGTGAGTGTGGAAGTGTTGCTTGCTGTCAGATTCCCTAAGCCTGTTTTAGCTTTAAGAAACCACGGTCAGATCCCCCCCCCTCCTCCTCCTCCCCCTGCGGGCTCTTCTGTCTTGACTCTGCATAATGTGTAATTTCCTGTTGTGACACCGCTGTCGCGAAGGGTTGGGCAATAAATTACACATTCAACAAGAGCGTTTCCCACAGTGGATAGGAAAAAAAGAAACACATAAAACCCCTTAACTGTAATTATTTTAAGGGCAGGATGTCTTTGCACAACTGGACCCTGACCTCTGTAATAGCCTCAAACCTCTAATAAAACCTTTTCACTCTCTTTACTTGATTGCCATTAAAATTCTTCCCTTGTATCAGACCTTTTTTCACTGAAATGTGCTGCAGCAACAGTTACATGATAAATGACAGGCTACTAAACAGAGAACATTAACGCAGCATCTGTGCTCATAACCAGAAGTACATTAACAGTTTTTACTGCATGCTGTTAGCTCAGTGACACATCGGCCCGGTAGCAGAGGTTAGAAGGAAAAGCTTTGCAAAGTAGCAATTGATCTAATGAATACCTGTCGTGTGAGTATAAAAGACATGTTCACCTTCAGCAGATAAAAGCTTCTGGAAGAAGTGTGCTCCTGATCTCCTGCTCCGCTCGTAGCTATTCCTTCCGGTCTCCCAGATCCTGCTCGGACTTTCAGAAATGTTGTGTGAACAGCAGTAGCCACTTCCCACCAGTTATCTCTAATTGACTAAAACGAGGCACCACGGGCAACTGGATTCTCGAGAGGTCAGCTGGAGAAAACAGAGAGTTGGGAAGTCTTCTTGAGGACATGGGGAGATATTACAAAATGCAGACATTCATGTGACTCTAGAGAGTAAGGTTGCTGTCATGGGTTTTGGAGAGGGGGAGGTAGTGAACACATGATAGAAGGACATGTACAATTGGCTGATGGCTGCATAAACGGCTATTTTTGAGGATGTCCATTAGTAAAAAAGCAAACGTAGAAATATTTCAGCATCAGACAACACAGTATATTGATATTCTTTTTTTGGGGGGGTTTTCTATGCCCATGTTTTTGTCTGTTATTCATAGACACAGATAAGAGCAGACAGAGATTATCTCCCCTCCTCTAACCTCATAATCTACTCATATTCTTAGCCGTCTACTCCGAAAATTCTCAGGCTCACCCGGGGTGCCCCGCTCTCACATGATGGAAAACAAGACATTTCATGGCCCCCTCACTTGACTGAATGCAGAATAATGCATCTCTCCGCATCTATCAACACATGGTTTCTCCACCAGGTCTTCAGACAGGCCCAGGCTGGAGCAGCTGTGCTTCTGACCTGTTCCCTGTATGTCTGTGAAATGATGTAACAACAACCAACCTCTGGTGCATGATAATGAATGAACTTTCAAGTCTGTGTTTTTGCCTGCAGGGCCGTGGACCGCGTTGACCTCCTGATTTTAAGTGGATTTAAGTACAAAGACTCGTGCTTGAACTTGGTTACTGAATGTTTGTTTTGATGCAACAACGTAAACCCTCAAATTATTTGCATGAATTTGGTCGTCAAACCTCAAAACCCGATCGTTTCAAAATGTGCCGTTTAGCAGAGCCTGATGCTGTTAGCACTCCACCCAAAGTTATGAATGGCAGAGGATTTAAGGGGCTTGCTGGTTGAGTGACTGTGTACATCCAGAGGGTGAGTTGAAATCCCCCAGCATGCACACTGGCCCTTGGGTGAAGTGACTGACCTACAAACGGAGCTTAGTCGCGGCTTGTGTTGCCGGTATCGGCTGAGCCAACCAGATTTCAGCTGTGCTTAAAGCAGAGGAGGGAAACAGATGAATGGATGAACGTATCATGACAGAAAGATTTTAACAAGGCTTAAACATGTTGAATATATACGGGTTATTTATCTGTCTGTTGCATGTGAGTGGAATGTAGATAAGAGTTTTAACAGAGTATTATAAGCTTTGGTTTGGTGCATTTACTGTTAAGTAAAAGATGGCCCAGACAATGAAGGACTTTTATTTTTTAATAAAAAAAGGATTGATGGTTACAAAATTCAAATCATCTAGAAAAATTCATGAAACAGTTACACCATTATCGCCTTCCAGTAGAAAACAAATTCACGGCTGCACACTAATTTTTCCACTTTCCCGAGGGACATTCAACCTGGTCCCCCTTACTGAGTGAAGCTTTAACTTGAAAGTAGTCCCATATCTAGATGCTCTACTTCTCCTCTCCACTCTCCTCCCCGTCACTGTCGCTGTCTCTGCCGGGATGCTCGGGCATCTTTTTTGCGCGCTCCTCTGTGTCTGGACTTTCTTTGATCTCACTCTTGTCCTCAGACTTTGGTTCCGGTTTTGACTCTCCTTCCGGGGCGTCCTGTTCCATCGGGGTCTCTTCCTGTGGTTCCGCAGACTTGACCGGCTCTTTGTCCGGCGCTGCATCCGTCTTGGCTTGTTGCGGAGGCAGAGCCAGTTGCTGCTGTTGTTGCTAAGCAGAAAGTAAGGTGAGGAAACAGATTCAAAATGTTACGATTATATTTCCACCTTTGCTTAGAATCATTCAAAATTCAATCTTGGTGAATTCTACTAGGATACGGTCTTATGAGGACATTTTTCTTGCTCAAATATTATTCTCAAGTCAAGTTAGCACAAGATGGAAAATTTGACACCGAATGGAAAAATCCCCACACCTCTAAGAAACCTGAATTCAAGGTTAAAGGTTAAGGTCAAAGGTTAAAAATACAAGTGAGACAGACTGATTAGCAGAGCTGAAATTCCTAATACAATAAGATTTCAACAATGTTAGCATAGTTTTTTTAACAGTGAGTTTAAACTTAAATGAGTGTCTGGTGTATCTAATAAGAGTGACTGTTGCACTGGAGACAGCACTGATGGGAGTTACATAACAGAAGTGTCTACCTGTCTGTGCTTCTGGGAGGTCTGGATCATGTGCATGTACATATTGTACACCAGATTGGCCATCTCTGGCATGTTCTTGATGATTTGGTCAGGCTGTCCAGAAGCATCTCTCTGAGGAAAGAAAGCAAAAAAAAAAAAAAACAGTTTTGAATTCAGGAATAATGTGATAGGAATGATAATGAGGAATTCAATGTGTCTTGTTAGCATGTATTCTCTCGAGCACCCCGTGGTAAACTACTGATCTGATGCAAATTTGGAGGGAAATTCACTCTCCACCTCCCCGCTACCTGCTTATTATGGGAAAGCAAATTTGGGAGTGCCCCCGAGCTTTAACTGCTCACGTACTACCCAAGGATTTGAGGTTGCAGAGTTTGTAATTTGACGGCATTAGTATGCAGACGGAGTCCTACAGGATAAACTGAGGAGTGAGACGAGCAGAATATTCAATCTACAGGGCTGTTGCCTCCTAAATTTAGGGGTTGTGCTCTCAGAGGCCCTTGGGGTATCATGTCAGAGTGAATGCACTGAAGGCTCCTCTGGAATAAAAGTTAACTGTGTGTGGTTTATTGCTTTTAAACCATCAGTAAAACAACATCAGGGTGTTAATGTGTTTCCCAGTAATTAGACATCAGACTTTAGTGTCTGTCTCATACTATCCAACAGCGCTGAATATATGTGTTCATCTATATGCAACATTAAGTGACAATGTTATATTTTTTAATCTGCTTCTGGCTCAGCATTGTTTAAGACTGTTAAAGCTCTGGTCCAGTGTTACCACACACAAATAAGGCTTTAATCTGCATCTGCATGTAGGCGGTAGAGGTTCACTTACTCCACACAGACGGGCTAAGCAGAGGCCTCATGTGTGTGCCCGAGAGGCCTGTCCCCTCTGGGGATGAACACTCCACAGTCAAAGAAAGTGTCAGAGGCTGTGGGGTATTTTAGAAACAACTGTTGCCACACACGCCATTCAGCGAGATAGAGTGACCAGACAACAGCCGTCTCATGCCGGCCTGGTGGGTTTTGGGATACTGGTTGTGCCTGCTGATCTTTGAGGGTTAATTATAGCCAGGTCTGCAGACAGCACACATAGAATGCTGCTAACAGAGCAGGGTCTTTGGGTAAATCCTCACTAAGAAGAGGGACTAGTGAAGGAATGGGATATTTTCAATGGTGCCATTCAAAATATGAAGGCAGGATTAGACAGAGTCAGGTGGCTGTGGTAGTGATGACGTGGAGGGATGTTGGAGGGTGCAGCTGTTTTTTTTTAAGAAATTGGTGCTGTAGCTTGTGTGCTTTCTTTACCAGCCAAATGTAATGGAGTGGAAGATTATTGTGCTTTAAGAATCTGGTGTGTGCATGCGTGTACGTACAGGCTGCTCCTGGCTGTAGTACTCGTGCGGTCTGATGTGCAGCTGCAGAGGCCTGGCAGTGAGCTGGTTGAAGGCAGGAGTCAGCTCGAAGCAGTTTTGGAACAGCGACACCCGAGCGAAGATGTACAGACCCAGTCTGGCTCTCGACATGGCGACCACCAGACGCCTCACATCCCTGCAGAGCGATAGGGGAAAAAATGAAGTTGAAAATTGGTTTGACACTAGGGGGTGAAATTTTTTTTTATCAAAGAGACGGTTGAGGGTTGGGGTGGGTGTGAAATTGTGAAAGAAGAAGCCAAGTGTAGGGGCAAAAACAAAATCAATTTAGGTAAAGGGATCAAAGTGGAAGGAAGCAAGGGAAGATTTGAAGAGCGAGAAATGAACATCTGTGTAGGAGGAGAGAGGTTTAGAGAGGGATAAGAAGCAGTAGGTGAGGGGGACAAATATAGCAGAAAGAAATAAAGAAGTGAGAGGAAGAGGACAGGGATAAATGAGACAAAGAGAGGGAGGGGTGGGGGGGTGACAAGAGAGGGCAGAGATGGGCTCGTTTTTTTCTCCATCCAGTTGAATTAATAGATCAAACAACTGAGGAATCATTACCCAGAGAATGGAGGAAAACACACCAAACAGCTCATTTGAACACATGAAAGCCTTACTGAGGATATGATGCACATCTTCAAATTGTACCCAAGTATAAATAAATATCTTGCACATAGAAAGAAACATAAGTGTAGTCTTTTTTCAGTCAGCCATTATAAAAAGACGGCGGGGAAACAATTCAACCAGTGTCACTATGTAATAGATCTTCATATTGTGTGTTTTAGGGGAGTGGATGGGCAGTCTAATGGAGCCATGCAAAATATGTCCAACCAGCTGGTCTATAAATATTTGAGACAACCACAAACTGAGGAAGGGCGTATAAGGGGGAAGAAGCGTTTCACTGATTTGGCACATGTTTGTATGTATGCATTTACCAAAAATACATCAACACATACCAATGCTGAAATGCAGCCAAAAACGTGGAATGTGTCCACCTGAGCACTCCAAAAGATTAAGAGGATTAATCCTTCCAATATGCACGATGGCTCCATGAATATGTATATAAGTGAAAAAGGCTTATGGAAACCATTGTGCCGGATTTACGGGAGTTAACGTGTGCAGACGATTTATATGGAACTGCAACTAACTGCAAATTTCAAGCCTGAAACAAAACTTGACAGAGCAACATTTCCACAGAGACAAACTACAACAGCCAACAACCAATGAGCACAGAGTTCAAGAAGAGATGAACCAATCGGGAAGCTTTATAGCCTGTAGACATGGTACTACTGAGAGAGACGCCCACCTGGGCTATGCTGTGACACGACAGGGCATAGTGGGCGAATACCGTTCGTGTGTGTTCCCATATGTGTGTGTGTGTGTGTCCATGTCAGAGCGTGTCTGGATCTGTCAAAGAGTGCGCTCCTGGATGTGACCGTGCCTGTGTGCATCAGCAGGAATGCTTCTCCTGTCAAAGCGAGGGTCAGCTCGTCATATGGTCAGCTGTGTCCCCCTGTGGTTGTCACGGCAGCAGAGTGCCACAAGGAGGGATGCAGGGAGAGGAGAGAGTACAGGAGGGGAGGAGGAGGAGGAGGGGGGGGGGGAGGGTTGTGAGGTAGAACTCAGTGGTACGCCACAGGGATCCCAGTCTGTGGAAAACACTGTACTGCACAAGGTTTTCCCATGAACCATTGCTCTTTCAACCACTGGGCAGACCATTGAGAAGTGTCAGGAGCTCAAAGTTATGAATGAAAATAAATCTACACCAAAAAAAAAAACAGATCAACAAGGCGCTGTGGTTTATTTTAAGTGCTCTTTTATAAAGGAACGGGTGCTGATTTTACACATCAGTCATTTTAAAGGTCTACTTTTAGGTCTTGAGAAATACAAATGCAAATTAATAATACAATTAAATCACAGCCATAAGGTCTTGATTGAGAAAGGGGTTAGTACGTTTAAGATAAAAAGGTAATGAGGTGAGCACATCTCATCTACCCCCAAGCTAGCAGTTTACTTTAAAGCTACTTTAGCTACATATTGAGTAATGTAGGTACTGTCTTTTGTTTTTGGAAGGTTTTCTCTTTGGGATTTTAGAGATAGGACAGTGGATGGAGTGAGAAATCAGGGAGAGAGAGAGAGAGTAGGGAATGACATGCTGGAAAGGAGCCACAGGTGGGATTTGAACCTGGGCCGCCCACTCTTAAGGACTTAAAACCTCAGGATATGGGACGAGCACATTAACCACTAGACTACCGGCGGCCCCCTAGGTACTGTGTTTTAACAATGAGGTGAAATGCATCGAGTGAAAAACACGCTCGTGCGACAGTATTCTTCCTCACCAGATAAGTGAAGTTGGAGCACATTGTTACAGGGACACCATCTGATAACCTTCAACAACCTTCTCACTTAGAGTGGGCTGAGAGTGTGTGGAAGGCAGTGTGCAATATCCAGTGTAAGACAAGATCAAAAGAATGATAGTGAGAGGAGAGCAGGCGCTGCCAGCAAGATAAAGTACCACTTTATGTGGCCCCGCTGTCCTTCTCATTCCAGCTACATGAATTCATTGCTTTATCTGGGAGATGAAAATAGACTTTAAGGTGTTTATACTGTCAGTTGAAAATGGCCATGCTAAAGAGTGGGGTGTGGAAGGAAGGCATGTATTTAGCTACATAAGGAATAACTGATTATTAACGCCAGGGTTCCAATTTAACAACGCGAAAATGGGGGTTGGGGGGGGGGGGCTCTGGCAGGGCAGCTTTGATGAAGCTGTGAGGGGTGCAATTCTAACAGCAGCTACTGTACATCACAGCCAGAGGACAGCATGACATGTTTAAGTACTGTGGCAGAGTTCAGCCTAAATTGTCTGTTATAAAACATGCAGCGCATTAAGTGCGAAGAGCCCATAGGGATCTAATGGCAAGCTGAGAAACGAAAGGCCATTCCACTATGAAAAAAAAAAAATCAGTGAAGGAGGTAGGAGGTGACAAGTGAGGAGACGAGGGAGCACAGAGATAAGAAGGCAGAGCCCTGCATGTGTTAGTTAGGAGGATAGCAATGGGACGTGGAATTGAATAGACGTGTCGCTACTGTTTGGTTAACCATCACGCCTCTTAATGACTGTTATATGGTGTGCCTTTGATCAGTACAGAGCTCTTTGTTTGAAAGTCTCGCCCCAATCATTGGAGCACAATGGCTTCTCTTAAAACAGCACAGGAAGTGAAGTGAGTTTCACTGACATGCTCATGCTGTCCTGACGCTCCCATTATCCTGCCTGCTTCAAATTAAGCTCATACATACTTTAAGACAGCCGCAGTGTTAGAGTCGGTTTTTCCCTTCAGCAAACTTCTGTCAGTAGCTCCACGCGACAAAAGGAGAGAGCCGCTCGAGAGCAGCTGTCTCCGGAGAGTTAAGCGCTTAGGTTTTTGTTGTTGTTTCTCTGGATGATGTGTATCTAAGTTTTGGATCCTATTACACTTGTGTGTTTTGTAGAGGAATAGCAGCCGATGGTGTCCCTGGTGGGAGTTTTTCTGCTTGGCATGCATTCAATTGGTTACCTCAGATGTCCCACGGCTTTGGTGCGGACCAGAGAGAGGATGATGTAGTCATTCTGCTGGCCCTGGAACCTGTCCACTGTTGTCACCTGCACAGACACACAAACATGCTGGTTATCAAAAGACACACACACACACACACAGTGATACACAGAGAGAAACGCTAACCAAGCAAAGGCAGCTGATGTATTTAACAGAGTACATGAGTGAGTGCATTTAAGGTGGGTGGAGGGATTTAGCTGGAATGTTTAGAGACATGAGCGTGGCTGCTCTCCGTCTTAAATTCTTTTTGTATTTATTTCTGAGGAGAGGTTGCAAATGATGCTCTGTGTGTTTTTCTTGTTATCGCTTTGGGCCACATGGGACAGCCTGCAGAGGTTTATACAGCTTAGAGGGCATTTGCTGTCACTAACCTCTTACCTGGGCCCCCCCCCCAGAGGATCAGGGCCAAGGTACTTGGGGGCCACCTCGCTCGACTGGATCAGAGATTATTTCAGCGAGACAGAGAAAGGAAAAGTGTCTCTGAGGAAATCCTTGTCAGCCAATTTGCTTTTATGCCCTGGTAATCCTGTCTCGTTGAGAAGCGTACTTATTCCCGTACATGAAGAACAAAGCTGTGTTTTGACTTCGTTAGTGCTGCTACACCTTACGTAATACAAACATCACACTGCACTTGCACTTGGAACTTGATACTAAGGGATGAGATGAAACAAAGTCAAACCTACACTTGAACAGTAATGCTGCACTGTGTGAATATTGGGCTGTTTATACAGCCGATGCCTTCAACATCTGTTTACAACCCCTGGCATGGTTGGGAGTGTCTGGATTGAGTACGTTCTCGAGGAGATTTGAGTCACAGGTTCACTCTGGGGCATTCCATACATATATGGGTGTAGTCTCAGTGACGTCATCCTTTGGTCTCTGAAGAGGCATGATGAGGCCAAATGATGGTGGTCCTAATACTGGAGTTGCTATCTCCATCTCACTCTCTATCAATCAAGTAAGAGGCAAAGAGGGGGAGCTGAGGCAGGCCTTAAGTATCCGTGCAAATAGCTGCAATGTGACCACTTGTCACCCCTAAGTATGGAACTTTAAATCTAAAGTGGATCTCATAAAAGTGGATAGGTTATAAAAATATTCACCCACCATTCAGTTTTCGCAAATAAAAAAGTGAGCTCCAGAGACCATTTCTTTCCTTTTTTACCTGGCTGTAAACGTGTTTATTTCTACTTTAAAAATGAGCATTTTAACTGTAGGCAGCTCAAGTGGACACTCAAGAAACTGCATATTTTTGCACTTCCACATTGGCTTCATTGTTCAACACACAAGGTTGTTGCAAGGTTTGGTCTCTCGTACCAGGTAAGTACCAGTATTTGAATGTGACAAGCTTCAGGTTTATTTAAAAAGCTTGTATTTAAATTTAAGTGCACAAGCTGAAACATAAAAATAAAAAAAGTGTGTAAGACAACATCTGAATATATATATATAATATAAAAATAAATATATCACAGTGATAAAAACAACTCCAGTTCTTTTCAATGACCCACTTAAGACTAGTGGAAGTTTAGGACCATGGTGTAATAAGTGAAAGATGGTTGGCAGTTTAACAACAGTACCATGTGAAGAGGAGCATGGGCATTGTAGTGTAAGAGCTGTAAGCCACACCTGAAGGACAAAAACATGACTTTTCTGAAAGGTACATGACATTTCTAAAACCTCTGATCATCAGGATTGCATCATCATCGAGGAGAGTCCACTATACTGTAACTAACATCGAGGACACATTTCCAAAAAAAATGAAATCAAAGGGAATACAGATCCAGCGTGTCCACCCTTTTAGTAACAGCATGTCAGAAGAAGACAGTTAGTCTTACAAAATAACATAAAGCAAGACTGCATGTAAATAGAGATTACAAAAACAAAGCAGGCCATAATTAATTCAGATTTGGTGTTTTATCAAAATACTACTTTTCTGTTTTAGACTACGTGATGAAAGAAGAAACACATCTCAGTAGAAAGAGGTCGGACTTTCCTCTATGGATTCTCTCTCTAGAGTGGATCAATAGGACATCAGCTACCACAGAGGAGCCACACTGACCCAGGACTACGGCAACCAACCTTTGAACCAGCCGTGCTTAATAAATCATGCAGTGGTTGTGGTTACGTCCTTTAAGCTAATGCAACGTTAAGTGATTTTGGATGTCCCATTTGCTCAACCTCCTTCACAAAAAACCCCTTTTGGGTTAAGATGGTGTTAGTGTGGAGAATGTGAATGTGCAAATGAGGGAGAGATGTAGCTAACAATGTAGTAGACCAATATTTATTCACGTCTCCCTGTTGCTATGTAGAACAGGTGCAGCACCAGAGGCAACAATATGTCGCTTTCACAATAGCATGGGGCATTGTGGGCCGTATGTTCAAGCAGTGCTATGCATGCATGCACATGTTCTCAAAACTGTGCCATACACAAGACACAGTCATCCTCCCTTTATTTAAATAGACCGTGAATGCAGAGGAGACTTTAAAGGTGCAGTTTAAAGCAAAATAGTGAAAGTTGTTTTGCAGGGAAGGGGTGCTTCAGTGAGTGAGTTATTCTTAGCCTGCAGACAGTGACAACGAAGCCCTGACAGAGAATCTCCCCAAGGCGCAACATTTTGCATGGTGTTTAGTTATTTATGAGAAATCTTCAAGGGAGTGAATTACAGAGGTCATGTCATTGTGGCACATGCACGTCTGTGGATACAAAGAAGCACATACTTATAACGAGAATATGCCTTCTCCTTCTTGTCATGAAGACAATGAAATACTATCTACTAGCTGGTGGTCTTTTTTTTTTCTGAACCCCTCCCCCTTTACCCTTTCTACTCTATTGTATTCACAGCAATTATCCCTTGGGTTGTACAGAAGAAAGAGTGTCAGGTTATTCACATTCACAACTCTCAAAGATGACAGATTCTCAATGTCCCACTGCTTGTGCTTCAATATCCGAGTGTCCAGATTTCATAATTGCCTCAAAAAGACATGCTGGGACATGCTGTAAAGACTTTTCTCCATCGATGTTTGTATCTCTTTTGTTTTTGGTCGCACAGCTAGAATTGCTTTCTGTTGTTAGAGTGGAGAATAGAGGGGCACAATGGGGTTGAAAAAGCTTTTAAGAACCACATCTCTCTTGTTCAATCATCACCCCTTGACTCCGTTTTTGGACACTTAAAGATGAAGATGGCTGTTTGGTCTACAGTAAGTCGGCAATACATCCCTTTTTTGATGTGGAGAAATTGTTGTGAGGAGAAAAGATATGACTCTAAATCCAGGTAGCATATATGTGATGGAGAGTTTTAACAGAAAAACTGGAGATGCTCGTTCCTCTTTTTTAGTTCCGATTTGATTCCGATCCATTTGTACTGATACCGATATGTTTTGACCATAGTTAATAGTTGTATTGTTGTTGGTGGTAGTATGTGTAAGGCTTCACAAAGCTGTACTAAACCCAGCATTGCATTGTGCTGGCTTCACATACAAACAGGAAGCAGCAACGACTGTCAGGTTTTCAAATTAAATATTTTCAAATGAAGTGTAAGAATTTGACTTTCTAATCACATAGAAGGAGCTGTTCCATCTCATCTGCACGTCGTCATGGAGACGATTTGTGGGCACTTAATAGTTCAGTCTGAATGTCTTCCAAGCGAGACTATGTGAGCTGAGAATGTTGAAAGTGCCCGACCATCTTTCTTGATCAGTCCGATATCCGATACGTAAATTACGTCAATATCAGACCTGATACCGATATTAGATCGGATCGGTCCCATCGCCAAGAAAAACCTAAATGTACCTTCTCTATAAAGTTCAGAGGTTAAACAAAAAAAGACTGCACACATACTGACACACTATCTACAGTTTGTGTGTAAAAAGCTGGCTGGTACTAACTGGACTAACTCCTTTTATCTCTAATTACCATAATCACAGTCAAATGGTCTGGCTGCTGACATCTGCTTGGTTTCAGCCATTGTGACATATTGTCAGACACACTGTGGACTTAGTGCTCGGCGCCATGACCTTTCAGCTGCTCCGCGTTTTACCCACAAGAGCCCCTCTTTTCTTTTTCATTGCTCTCTCCCCTCTCCGGGCTTCTTCCTTTTCTGCACTTCTAGCAGCCTGTCATGCCGGTCACTTTATCACTTGGCATGCATTCTGACTAAGCCCATGAGCAACAATGACTGACGCTTCATGTCTTAACATTTCAGGACGTTTTACATGATCAAGCACAATTTCTGGCAAGTTGTCAGAATGTGACACACACTTGAAGACAAAGCGACGAGGTAGCATGGCACAGCACAAAAGACAGACACAATAACATCATTGCTATGCACAGAACATAGAAAGAAAAGAAAATTTATGTTTTTGTACCTTTAAAGTGTTAAAGTTTAAGTCTGGTGATGTCGTATTTAATGGTACTGTCAGCACATAGCAAAGACAAAAAGGGTTCAGCTAACAACACCGGATGAAGCTTTTTATCTCCATTTTGTTAAGAAAAAAAAAGATAAAAAAAAAAGTGGGTCAAACTGTTCCTCTACTACATTAATAATGGGTATCTAAGTTTAGATTTGGCTCCAAATAAACCTCTGTGCTTCTGTAAACTCTCACTACTTCACTAAATATGTATTTATCCAGGTCATGTCACAGTCCAACAAATGGAGGTTTTATTCTTAACAATTGCTCGAGTAGCTTTCTAAGAAATTATTTAGCCTTTCATTTATAAATCTAAACAAAATGCAAAGTACCAAGAGACAACGCAAACTGATTGTTTTGCTCTTTTTCATGATATTTGTTGCCTTTAAGAAGAAAAGGGAATAACAGCCATCTCTCTCTCTCTCCCTCTCTCTCTCTCTGCTGTTAAAGCCCCAACAGATTTTCAAAAGGGATTTGGGTTTATATACAGTATGTTCTGGAAAAACAATAGACCCGGGATACTAACATTTAATTGGCCACAGGGGGAAACCACTTTCCTGGCCAGTCAAACCACACAACAACAACAACAACAACAAAATATTTGAACAACAACAACATAATGTGGCAGCCTCTGCTGTGGCTCGATAACCTTCCAAGCTGACCTGAGAGATGCAACTTTTCACTCCATTCTTGCCGCTTTCTTTGGCGCGCCTGAGCAGCCTCTGTCATAGTAAAGTGTGTGAAAGCCTGAGAGAACAGAGACTGAAGAAAGGTGTGCGTATGTGTGTAGTAAAAAAATAAAAAAAGAAAGAATGGTAGAATGAGTAAAAGCATAACCTGAGGCTAGCTGGTAAAAGCATTTAGCGGAGCAAACAGAAAACGGATGGAAAACTGTGCCAACGGGCTGCTGACTGAACACAGTGTGAGGGAAGACAAGAGAGAAAAGAGACAAAGACATTGGGGGGGGGGGGGGCTACCGTGGGCTGGGTGAAGACAATCTAATGCAATCCTTCAGGGATGAACACAACAGTGAGTTTACGCCCACTCTAAAATGATGCACTCTTAAATCTTTTACTCCACTACACACCTCAGTGAGTTAAACACAGAGGTAAGCAGTGTTCTGGTATGCAGACTGTTAGGGACAGATAGTGCAGCGTGACCTGATCTACTTTGGGTCTTATGACCTGCAGCAGTCTTCATGCTCTCATGATTTGATGGAGGAAATAAAAAAGAAGTGGACACACAAACGGACTCTATGCTTGGCCTGCTAGGACTCTAGGATGTTTTATGTTTGTACCATGAAATGGTCGACAATGTTAACCAGTAAACGATCAACAAACGCCATCACCATGAGAGCTTCTCTGTCGTCATTGAACAAGTCTCATGTGATCTGGAGATTATAACGTGATCTTGTGACTTGAGCTCCCTTGCTTTGTGATACGTTTGTGTAGGCCTGAAGAAGAAGGCATCTCATGTGACCCTTATGACCTTTTAAAATTTAAATCTATATTTTCAGAGAACATTTTAGTATTTAAAATTTATTTAAGATAATTTTAGTTTGATTTTCTCTCTTGCTTTAATTCATGTGTCCTTTTTTTGGGAAGCAGGTGGTTTTGACTGTTTTTAAGATCCAAATGAGGTCATCATGTGTGATAAAAACCGTCATTTATTAATTGAATTTAGAGAACAATTACTGGAACATGCTACAAACCATACCCATGATATAAAATGATGTATGATAGAAGATGTTGTCTTATTGTCCACTCCTTGCCTATACAAATGAATTAAGAGCCTCTGTTCGCTCATTTTCCACCATGTGGGAATCATGCAGATCCGCCTTAATTTCGAGGAGTTATTGTTATTCCCATTGCGAGAGCTGTAGGGAATGCATGTAGCTAAACTGTACAAACCCGACTTGAATAGCACAGGGCGGAAGAGTGCGGAAGACGTGTGTGTTTTTGTGGAATGGGAGCGAAATAAAAAGCCTTGTGAGAATTCAGACCTGTGAATATCTCTCTCGGTGCAGCAGAGCCTCCAAAGCTGCTGCACTGACTGCAGCTGACAAGTAAAGGTGTGAAGAAGCATGTGCATGTTCTGTGTGTCATGTGTGGTTCTACTTGAGTCTGAGTCCTTCACATCTAATATGAGGTGAAAACACGTCTACTGGGACTATGTTTTCCATCCTGACAGGAGAGAAGGAATGTGTCACCCTTCATTGATATTAAGACTGTGCGGTATAACGCAACATTAAATATGTAAATGTCCAAAAACTACCTGAGTACCCTTTACTTGCTTGTTAATAAAGAGCGAATTACTGTTTCAGAAAAATAACTGGAGATGTGGTTAGTGGGTCAGACGTCTGGAGCCAGAATAATTTCATTTTGATCATGTTGTTATTTGTAAAGCGTCTTACAGTATTCAATAAGCTCTTTATAAGTCCAATGTATTATTATAATCATTATTGTGTTAATCAAGAGCATTTCCTTGAATATGACAAATCAAAGTTATAAAGAAAAGAAAAAAGTCCTACAGTGAATCTTGTTCTCTAAATGAGTAATAATAGCAGAACAATGGTGTGGAGATGTTAGATTTGCTTTATAGAAGACTAACAGACCATTCCAATAAAGGGTAGCCTGCTAATGGATATTATATAGGGTAAAATCCAGAATATAAGGGCACACTCACACAAGGCAAAGCTGTCCCGTACCGTGCTAAAGTACGGCCCCCGCTGGCCTGCCCTCACACTGCTCCAGGGCTAAACGGGCCTCAGCACGCTTACCTCTTGTATATAAGGTTGTAATACAACACATGTATGGCTTTATGAGACCATGAAGCATGCTTAGTTTACAAGACAGACGTTCTTGGGAATTTCTTTTAATTAAAAATTCTAAATAAAAGGCCCGGGATTTACTTTAAAGTTCATAAAATTATCATCAGGTTCATCTTTGTGGACTGTTCACTGTGGTCAAGGTTAGCTGGTGCACGCGCTCTTACCTTGTTTGGCTGACTGAAGAAGGGGTTTCCGGCACAGCGCTGGTTGATGACGTCTCTGATCAGGTGTTTCTGTCCATTGTAGGTGGTGAGGATGCTGATACGGTCTGCGGGGTAACCCAACAGGCGCATGTACATGTACAAAGCCACACAGTACTCGGCCTCCCCCAGGTTCTACACAGGAAGAGAAAAAGGAGAGTAAGATTATTATATGAAAACTCTCAACATGGTAGATAGGTTATGACGCAAAATTTGTGTTTGTCAATTCAATAATATTGTCAGGCTAATAACCCAGAAACACATCTTGCTCTTTACAGTGTTTCCCCACAGCAAAGGTGTCTTCTGTGTTTGACACTCGGCTGTCCCTGCCTGTGGCACTTTCATATCTGTCTTTTGCCCTTTCTTGCCTGTCAAGTGCTAAACTTCACAGCCAGATTAAAGCCCACGCATTTACACATGAGTAGCCATCTGATTTGGGCTGGAATTAATTGACTAAGCCAGAGAGCAACACCACCAGTGGCAAGACTGGGACCAGCAAAAATATTCAGATATTCCTGCTGTTAATTGTTTCTGGATTCTAAACAAAGATGTTCCAGCACTTCTGTCTTTATTGATATATACACAGCATTCAATAACCTCCACAAAGAAAAAACAACAAGTCGTTTTAATTATAGAGCTCTCAACTTCCAGCCCTCCCTCCAGACAATGTCACCTCCAAATGTGACTGTTTAAGGACTACCGCGCAACGTTCATCTACTTTACAGTCAACAAATTCCTCAGCATGTGCATCCTGGCTCCAAGGCTAAACTCTGCCCTTCAAGTGTGACCAAAAAAAAAGAGAAATAAATTAATAAGAAAAGCCAAAAGTATTGCATTATTCATCCAGTTTCAATTAAGCCTGGACGGCAGCCTCACATCCTTGATAATAATTTATGCTGCTTCATCAACAGTTCCCCATCCAGCTGCACTGAAGTCAACACTTCAAAAACAGTGGCAGCCTTTGTTCTTCCTCCCCTGTTACCTGTCTCCAAATGGCACAAATTCATACCTTTAATGACCATATGAATAAATGTTCGGTGTGAGCAAGGAGAATATTCAACATCATCAACATGTTTCACAAGGACTTAGAATTCATTTTGTTGAGGGAGTAAATATCCAAGCTCATTTGCTACTGAGCATCAAACCAGCACAGCGGATGGATGGCCTCTTGTAGCGTGGATCCGTTTGGCAGTATTTAAGAAAGTGCTCGTTTAAGAAAATGGAGATGAAGTCGTTATATAGGCTGTGTTAGGATAAACTGGCATACAACCACTTGACCAGAGCAAGGCCAACTAGCACAGGATGTTAACCTTGCTACTGAGGTTTTTTCCTTCTTCTAAAAAAAATTATATATTATTATTATTATATTATATTTATAATTTTCTATTTTAATACAAAAAAATGACTCCAAAAGGTAGCTTGAGTGTTTGGTTGCAGAGAAATGTCACAATGGTCATCAGCACATGCAGGGAACCCACCCACTCACAGAGGAGTAATATCTAAGCAGACATGTAGTTGGCCTTACCACCTTTGCTACCCTCATATGCATATTTTATATGAATGTGATCTAATGCCACAACACTCCAGAGAAACTGGTCATCATATCAACAAGGTCAGACCTAACCCATGCAGCTTGAGCTAATGGCCTGAAGCTAAATGAGGACTCCAGAGAGGGCGGAGTAAAAAAGAATAAAATGAAACAGAAGATGAGAGGCTTTTAGGTTGCAGTGTAGATACAAGCTAGGTAATAGGAGGTATAAATCCAGACTACCTGAGAGTGAAGCCCTCAAAGCTTTCTGCTCTTATGTTATATGAAAATGGAGCTTGTGAAGCAGAAAAGCCTCGCATAAACAAGCCGAGTGGCTGAGAAAAGCCATTTTCTAACAACAGAAGATGTGGATTTAGATTAGCATCTTACCCTATATGAGCCATCTGACAACTTGGGAAATACTACCAATGAGGCTGAGACTCAATATGGAAAGTGCTTTCACAAATGAGGCGAGGAAGCAGAACAGACCTTTGGAGTGTGGAGTGTGAGCGCACGCACACACTTGTGTTTGTGTTTGTGGCGGGTGCACGGGCTCCTGTTAAGTGCAAAGCAGGCTTGTGGCACTGTTTGTTCAGCTGTGACAGGCATTCAGCGTGCACTGGATACATTTGCTTCTCTAGTGTCCAATTTATCCCTTCTGGTTCTTGAGAAAGTGCATGCATGTGAGTGAGAGTGTGTGTGCAGATTAAGTGTGTGTGTGTGTGTGTCAGACAGAGTGAGTAATACTGGCAATTCCCTTGAGGAGCTCGAAAATGGCAACAGGCAAATGGAGTTGAGGTTCATGTGACCTGGTGCCTCGAGAAGCGCACATGGTCTGGATTTAAAAACAATAAGGAGCTTCAGGGACGTGAGCAAACTGTGCTGACCGCTGCAGTAACATTCATGAAGCACTGAAATGCATTCTATGCCCATGCAGCTTATATAAAAACCAAAGTCCTCAATTTATCCACTAATTTGTTTAACTCTCTGTATCATACAAATTCACTCTAACCTGAAATCAAGTGCCTTAACAGTCAGGCTTCTACTAATATGTTCTGTCTCCCTTGATTCCTCTCATTCCACCTGGATTCATCACAACCATCATTTGCAAATTCTAGTCTTTGTTCTGTTTTGCTTCACACCATCCCACGCTTCATCCCACACATCCACACACACTATGGACTTTACTGAGGGACACACTCCAACTTTTCAATAATCCTTTAAATTTAAACTTTAAATCGTTTACTTTTTACAATAAATCATTATTATTAGTAGTTAAATATCGTGTCCTTCCCATTTTCGTCACGGCCTTTGATCCAGGTTATGACAGATTTTATTTTCTAACCCTAACACCCCAAAAAAAAAGTCCAGTAAAAGTGGCTGATCATGTAAGGCTCTTTTCAGTTAGAATTGGCCTACTGTGTTGGTGTTGTGCATCTTTTAACATACAACTTTATCAGCCTGCCCCGCCCACACACACACACACACAGACACATAGTCTTGAGTGCTTCGGCATGACACGATGAAACACAATGTGGCTCCTTGTGTGAAGGACAAACCCAATGGTCTGAGCTGGGCAGCCATTTTTAGCTGCAGTCTAAGCAGGGTTATGAATATATCATATGCGCTGGTAGCTAAACCATTTCAATTTAAAAATGAATGAACCGCTGTACAACAACCCATTCAGTGGAAATGGAGGCCGGGGAGGAATATCGTTATCTGCTCTGGTGGAACTAAATGTGTGTATCTGTGTAAAGGAGTGTATAAACTGAGCTTGGAAAATTGGCATGAGTGTTAAACAATCTTGTTTCTGCTGTTCCAAACTGAAAACTAGTGACATGAAGCTAGTCTTTGCTAATAAACGTTGCCACTCGATGTTATTGGTACCAGAATTCCGAATCTGTGAAACTAATCGTTGTGTTTTTATCAATTCAGGCCTTCAATGTTGGTCAAATGTTGTGTCTAATCAGACACAGTGATCCCATATTAAATCATTTGTGCACAATGAGTGTTATCTTAGACTAGCTGACTAGTTAATTAACAGTAGCTAACATACTTAATAAAGAGGAAGTTTGAATGTCTAATGTGGTGGACTGACAGATGTCATTTTTGCATGTTCTTAACTGTCAGTACAAATAAGAGTTTTGTAATGTTCGTATGGTTTCTTCTTGTACTGACCTGGTAGAAGTAGGGGTTGGGCTCGGACTCTCCCACGCCATTGAAGTCCTCCACATTAATTAGCTGGAAGTCAAAGGTCAGGCCAGGGTTGGGGACCTGGAACTCAGGCAGTTGCTGGACATGAGGCAGGTTACCGAGGTGTTTGTAACGCCAGTTGTACAGGTTACAAAGGCTGTGGGACAGGAAGAAAGAAAAAAAACAAGAGTCACAATTGTGTGTAACCTTTTTTCATGAGGAGACTAATCCTTGCATCCATTGTGACGTAAGCATAATGTCTAGTTTCATGTCCTGTCAGTGTTACCCACCTTGCTCGTGCACGACCCTGTGCATCAAGGTCGATGGTGGGAACTCCCAGGCGCACAAATCGGGTGAAGAGAGACTGCTCCATGTTGGAGTACTTCTGGAAGGCCATGTTCTTGATGACAGGAGGCAACTGGTGGTGGTCTCCAATCATGATCCAACGCTTTAGCCTGCTGTAGCCATCCTCTGGGTTCTGCAGGGAAGACGGGAAAAGTAAGTAAGAACAATTCATCTAACAGAGAAAACACCACAATATTACTAGACTCATCAAATATAATCTTTGGACAGAAGATCTCGCCTCTGTGCACATGGACAATCCCAGTGCCCTACAACTATAAGATGTTGTCAAACTTGATTCAGTTTTGTTTTGTCTAATGATTTAACAACGTTATTCAGTGTATGTAAAATGAGATCTTCAGCACAGAACCAGATTCAAATCCAGGAGGGCATTTAAAGATGACTGGCCAGTGCAGTTTTTCTCCTCATGTCTACGTCATGCTGCCTGATTTGTCCAATTAGATTCAGTTAATTTGGGGCTTGACCTCAGACAAATCTGATATACCAACCATTGCAGTACAAGTGCTGATTTAATCACTGAAATCACTGATAAAGGTTTAATAACTATAAGGAAAGGGAAGGGGAGATGGAGGATTTTACAGTTGCACTGTGACGCACACCTTGCAGAAGCACTCTGACTGTCGCTCACTAAACAAGAGAGACAAAGAGAAGAGCTGTTGCGAGGTTGTTAGATGGTCTGATGTGTTTAATGATCTCATCTGTAAACAGACATTAGCACTATCTCGGACAATTAGGCACAACTACCAAAGACAAGCACCATTACTGTGTTTGGGGACAATCATTCACACCCTAAAAGGGAAAGTCAGGGACAAGACTTGCGTAGAGGATTAAACTGGGCCTGATGTCAGAACCTTTAAGAGACCATAGCCCATGCAGTGGCAGCTATATTTCTTTTAAAGCCTTAATAATAAAGCCTTCACATCATACATTTTATTTCATTTTAGACCTAGGATAGTGTTACCTGTAACAGGAGGGGGATGAAGGTCTCAATCTCCAGAATCTGAGCAGCTTCCTCCATCAGGATGTTGTCATACTAAAAAAAAGGAATCAAATTCAGACTAATTAGGTGACTTCATATAATCAGTTTGACGTCTTGAGGTCTACTTTTTTAAGAGTGTACCTTAAATCCCAGCTCCACCAGGTCATGACGTTTGAGTGCAGCATGTGTACAGGTCATGGCGATGATTTTGGCCTCCTTCACCAGCAGGTATTTGGAGCGGTCCAGTCCACTCCTGAGCAGCTCAAAGGCCCTGAACTCCTTCATGAGTAGGCAAATAAGGGGGGGGGGGTTATAAAATGATGAAACAAGAAGGAAAACAAGAAATATAACAATCTGTTTATTCACCCCTGAGAATAATTTGGCAAGTTTCGTCTTAAAATGCTATGTTTAGTGTTTCGTAGAGCGGGGTCATGAGGGGAAACTTAGATGATTTAGTGACAAAATGATGGATGATGACTGTCAAGAGATGATGGATAAGAGGATTACAGAGGGTAAAATAATCACACCTCTAAAAGGAACAAATTACACTGTTCAATTATCTGATACACAATCAATACATCTTTGCCAACCACATTTTAAAGATGATCGAGAAAAAACACAGTGGCTTTAATCTAACAATATAAAAGAAGATTTTATTTTCCTTGTATATGACCCATTAGTCCCAACAAGAGAAAGTAAGTAAGTCAAGTTTATTTGTATAACACCTTTCAGTGCTAAACATTAAAACAAGTACACAATAAAACAAAATGGAAAAGCAGAGAACAATAAAAAGCGCAGGGCAGAACCGTTAAAAATCATAACAACAATAAAACAAATAAGTACAGTGATGCATAAAAAGCAAAATGCCATTGAGAAATAAAAGCAGAATAAATAAGACAATTGATGCAGTAACTGGAGTGGTGCAGAAATACGAATAAGTTAACCAAATGCTTGTCTGAATATAAAACGTTTTCAGCTGCTTAATGAAAGTGTTACAGGAGTCTATGGCCTGCAGAGACAATGGGAGAGCATTCCAAAGACTGGGAGCAACCGCTTGGAAAGCACGGTGAACACGTCTTTTAAAATGGGTATGGGAACGGTCAATAGGGAGTGTATGGGAAGAGGAGCTTGGCAAAAACACTGTGGTGTTAGGCCATGTAGGGCTCTAAAAGTCAGCACAAACACAAGGATTTTAAAGTGTATGCAAATCTAAATGGGGAGCCGAGGCAGAGAAGGTAAAATGGTGGTGATGTGTGATCTCTTGTTATTTCCTGTTAAAAGCTGCTGGACATTTTGGAGATGGTTTCTGGTTAAACGGGTAAAAACAGCGTTGCAGTAATCCGAGCGAGAGGAAATGAAAGCATGAATGATCAAGAGCGTCTTCGATCAAGATGACAAAGTGATGAATTGTAAATAAACACATGCAAACACAGCTCCCCTGCTTTCTATTTTCATTAGAAAACACAGTCTAGTATTTTCCCGTAATGGAGTGAAACAGATATCAGTCAGGGCTGCTCTGTGGAAAGGATGCTGGGTGTAGATATCTGTTCAATAACCGAAGCTTGGAGAACACTTTAGCACAGATTTTCTTACATGGCTTTGAATGATTCAGGACAGTTTTTGCAGAAAGAAAATAAACTCCCTTCAGTGTGTCGATATCATGGCACCAGTATATCCCCACAGCAGGGGGGGTGGAGTGAAGAGAAGAACTATGGGTAAACAGGCAGGCTATCATTAAGCTGCCACACTAGCCGTGGAGGGGTAAGGAAGGCGAAGAGGGCGGGAGGAAGTGGACAGCACTGGGGTATATAAATATTTAATGTGTTACTATTTTAGCATTAATATTAAACCAATCAAAACATGCAATATTGATGAGTTCTATTTTTAACCCCTGTGGCTCCAGAGCGCTTGAAGGATGAAATCAAGAAGCTTTGGTTTCACAGACACAGAAGAGAGCGAGAGAGAGAGAGAGAGGAAATAGAAGTAAACAACAGTCAATATGTGGTGGGACTGCAGAGGAGGAAACAGGAGATGTTTATACAGGAGGAGCCCAGGAGACACGCCATGTACCTGTCCATCTGTCTGTTCAGCAGTTAATTATCAGGATATTCCTGTGACTGACTATGCAAACTGTTTTTGGATTTGAAAAGGCATATAGATGAGAACATTCAGCAGAATGCTGCTTCGTCTATTCTGCACCAGACAGTGATCCCTCTTAATGGGCGTACAGATTTCACTGCAGCATGGGTGAGGCTGAGGGAGGAGGGAGAGGTGCTGTGATGCAGTGATACAGAGGCCAGCCAGATAAATCAAGGTCACCACACGTGTTGGGGATATTACCTCCAGCCAATAACTTCTTTATTGCTTTTCTGAGACCTTCTTGGTGTTCCCATAAATCTGAAATGTTATTGTTAGCCCTATAGAAATGCTAGATGGGCCGAGGAGGAATGATACCGCATTCAGCTGTGTGTGTGCCTGTGAGTGCCAAAGTGTGCAAAAAGAGTGACGGAGAGAGTAAAAAAGATAAGCAGTAATAGCCTCTATCACTTTGTTGAAGCACTTATCTTTTTAAAAGGGTCAGCAATCATTTCTACAAATACACAGTAAAGGACTGTTAAGTTTCTTATGTAAGGATTCACTCTTTTGACTGAAGCAAAGAGAGGCGGTGAAACTCAGAGAGATGCAAACAAGGCAGAGGAGCAGCTTAGAAGCAGACAGATGCACAAAGGCACGACCAGTGTCTGACAAACTGCTGTTAATCTACAACAACAACCTGTCACTGTGGTGGCCAGGAAGGCACAGTTAGTCATGGATGGGGGATTGTGCAACACCTGGAAGCACAGCTGGCAAATAGTAAATGTCTTTAAACACTGCTGACAATGAAGCCTCTTTGTGTTAAGGCAAAACATCCGTACCTCAAATGTTCATGTTTAAAATGATATTCATATTTGAAATTATAACTGGTCAAATACTCCAAAATATAAATATCACCGGTATATAATAAGAGGCAGTCTGTCTTTGAGGGTCTCCCACAGGAAAAAAAAATGTAAACTGTCATCCTGTGAAGATTTACGGTCAGCAAATTCTACCCGAGGCCAGAATGCTCCAAGACCGAGACAAGACCAAGACATGTAGTGACCAAGACCAAGACAATAAATAACAATTTAAAAATCATCATTTTGTGTGCGCCGGGCGTGTCACTCAGTTAGACCGTAACACCCAGAAGGTTGTGGACGTGACCGGGGGATAAAAATCAAATTATGGATGAATTTAAGTTATTTGTTTGCCTGTCAGTGGTGGTCTTGACTAGTCTTGATTGAAAAATCCAGAATCCACTCAGTCTGAGACTGAGACAAGACTGAGTAAAAATGCTTTCGTTTCCAAGTAGAGACCTTCAAAAAGTGGTCTTGAGACCGGTCTTGAAACCAAGACTGATTCTAGTACAGTACTACAACACTAGTTTGCAGGCCTGCTAGCGAGTAGTTGAGCTCTCAGCCAACAGTAATGCTGACAGTGTTTAGAAGCACAGCCCACAACCGATTAGGCCTGAGTCGTTGCCCACCTCCACTGGTCACTTGTAGCCTATAATTTAAGAGTCTTTTCAGTCAAACCGGCACTCCACAAGACTCATTTACCTAACAGTATAGCACTGCTTTTATTAAATGTGTGATTATGATATAAGATGTAAAATAAGCAACTGTTAAAAAGTTGCACCCCCAGCCTTGTCCACGTTGCACGTAACCCAGCACGTTGTGTCTAGAGAAAGGGCTGCTTAAGGTATTGAAAGTGTGACGTAAACACCAGATTTGTGTTTGACAATATCAGTTGAATTGTGCTTTAAATACCACTTTATTCTGTCTGTCTGCTTGTTTGTATATATGTTTCCTTTTTAAGTGTTATATTTTAGATCAAATGAACATAGACATTTGCTCTATAAATAATATTGTCTTTGCCTACTGCTTCTAAGTTACCTCCTTCATTCCCACTGGGTGTCATCATTAAAGGGACCTAAAGAACAGTATATGGGTGTGTGTGTGTGTGTTGGTGTTTCATTCTTACCTCCAGCTGGGTGAATATTTTCTTGATGTGGCGGTAGCAGCCCTCTGCGATGTCCATGTCCTCTTCATATGAGCGGCCTTTGAACACGGGCTGGGGGGCGTTGGAGAAGTACTTGGGGAAGGGAAAATGTGCAGCAACAGCTTGTGCGTCCACCTTCTTCCCCTGTTTGGGACGGACTTTACTCATGTATTCTTCCCAGCGGGATATCACCTGAAGAGGAGGGAAGATAAGACATGCCGCGTTAGGTCGCTGAATCAAAGTGTTTGGTGTGTAATAGAGAATCCAAAACACTTCAGGTCCTGTGTGTCTTTGTGCAATCACACTACAACACATATGTCTTTTTTTTTTTTTTTTACATGTTTCAGACATATTCAGCACTCTCTTACTGCTTGAAAGGCGGAGCAGGATGCCATGTTTTATTGGTAGTAATTGAATGTTATTGATGGGCAAGTCATACCTGTTCACACTAAAGGACTGTGGCAGCACAGAGGTGTTTAATCACAGACAATAACTAAACAAACAAAGTGAATTCATTGTTTTATGCTGCATAAAGAACATCATGAGGGTATCTCGAGGTATGCCCACTACTCAAGTCTCCACCTAGTTTATCCGAATCCTACAAGAAATGCTGTATGATCACACAGCTGGTGTTCTGCATGCCTCTGTGCAGCTCAATGATGCCTGCTGCACTTTCTCATTACTTATGTGACCATCACAAACATTACACATTCATGATGAAAATAGAAAGCCTCACTTGTATACAGGTGCCCCCGCTGAGCACCTAATAAACCAGATACACTACACAGCAGGGGGGCCTAGTTCTATAAATACTCCCGTGAAAATAAAAAAACTTTAACATTAATGAGTCTGCTGGAGGACTTAACTTAATGACATGCTTAGTATCTGTCTGTATGGACTATTAGGACAACCAACAAACCCTTAAGCAGGTCTATATATGCAAGTTTTAGAGATAGGATTTCATTGATACCAATACCAACATTTATACTGTGAGGGTATCGATAATGATTCCATATTCTAGCCACTGAAAAAACAAAACATTGAGGAGGTAGTTAGAGCTGCCACTAAGGTGATGCTGCACTGCTTCAGATTTTTTTGTACATTTTCTTTGTTAGATAGCCCGAGAAAGCCCCTTCAGACACAACTGCTTTGAACATTTTTTTTTTTTATTTGGGTTAAATGTCATGTGTGAGCCCACACTTTTGAATGTTTCTCCTTGTCAGACACAGTCTCTGGATTATAAACCCTTACCGAGGTCACAAAACTTAAAACTGGCTGGAACTTGCTGCTTTGTCATCATTTAGGGACAATAGGAATTAACCATCCACATTTTGCTATGTTTGAATAAGTTATAGCAGCACCGTTCGTTAAGGAGCATATCAATATTTAAGTAGTGACCAATCAGGAACCAGTACCAATTAAGTACTGGCTCTTTGTACCCTGGTATTCTTATCTTTTATCACTGCCAGGGTATTTTGTGTGTGACGGATTCTTCTCGACATTTACATCTTCAAATGTTGCAGAACTACACTGTCAGCAAGTTTTCAAAGCTAGAATAAACACAAGAACTCAGCTAAAATGAAGTGTGGGCGGAGAATCCAATCTGCATGCAGCAACAAAATTCATAAGGAACCACAGATGTGTATGTGCCAAAGTGACAACTGACAGTTCTGGCAAGGCGGGAGCATGATCAGATATGAACTCTAACACTAGAGCTTTAATAACAGGAATAATATAGACGTGTTTAATAAGCAGACAACTCATGAACTAACGCTGAATCCCAATAAATAGTGTAGCTTATTCAACATTGGTGGACAATGACATGTTATTTCCTCTGCAAATGACAGAAGGTTCTAAACACCTCGTTATAGATTTACCTGGTAGAGGTAGAAGTGTCCTGCGGTCTCACAGGTGTAAGAAACATCTCCTGGAACATCCAAGCTCTCTTGCAGCCTCCCCACCTCCCTGAGGAGCTCCAGTCTTCTAGCAAGGACATAGTTGACCCTTCCATATCTGGAGACATACAAGGAAGACAGTTACTCAGTGATTGGGAAAAATGAGGAGTAAGGCAGACAAGTATTACAGGTTAAAATTATGATTTGAAGGAGGTGGAGGCTTATATTTGTTCCCTTTGCTTAGAGCAGTGAAGAAAAGCCTGGTCATTTAAGTACTCAAATATGTAAAATATATTGTTAGCAAGTCCTGATGGAGCACAGATGTTAAAGGGGGGCAATGACTGTCCTTGACTTTACATTAGGTTTATTTAAGGTTCATCATGCATCCTATTGTGCAGCCAAACAATACAGCTTAAAAGCAATTATCAAGTGACACCGAGACACACAGCACGCACAGCACAGGGCGACAGGAAGTGGGAGGGGTCACAGGGTAATACTAGAGGTGAACTCTATTTTTAAACCCTCTGCAAAGATTCTCCGTCAGCAGATGACTCAAAGACAATCACGGTGCTGCGCCTGTTTGGCCTGAATAAAAAATGGAAAAAAAAAGAGAAAAAAAACAGGCAGTGACCTTGTTCACAGGGTGACGACCTGTATTCAGCTACTAAGACAGAAAACTCAGAATAGATACACAGGTGTGAACAACAGAATTTATCAAGAGGATGATATTTCCTTTGCTCTTTTTTGTGTGTGCGGGAAAATCCAATAAAAAATGTTTTTGCACACACAGGCAGTAACTGTGCCTGAACTAAACAAACATCTTGGATATTTCAGAAAATCTACCCTATACTGCCACCAATTTTCACCCCTCAAGACCTCATTAAATCAGCACAAAATTCATCCTGAAATGCAGGGAGGCATTGTTAATTAATGGTGCCGTAGCTCTGCCTTTGTTAGGCATTTCGGAGGAGCGCTGCCTTCCATTTTGTCATCTCATATACAGCGTTAATTAAAACTCTCCGGCTCTCTCCTCTCGCTGGTGTCAGCGGGGTGGAAGGAGAGTGGAGTCTGCATGTTGTTTTCAGGCAGCCAAGCAGGCGGGAACATATTAAATGCTGCAAGCTAAGGCTCTTTCTTTTATGTCTGTGTTGCTGCATAATTTAAGAATTAACTGCTTCCATGTGCAGACCCCGGTTCCTGCACACTGCTATTCATACGACAGGCATACACGCGCACTGAGCAGTAGTCTTACAGAGAGCGTAAGCAAATGAGGGACATGCATCATCCCTCCCTTCTTCTTCGGTAAGGGTTGCTAGAGCTATAAGGTGTAATTTGCTCGGCGACACAGATGGATAAGGTGGTAATTAAAAATGTAGGCTATATGAAAACTTTAAATAGTAACAGCTTGAAAACTGAATTAATATTAAATAAAGCAGGGCTATTTATACTCGGGAGCTGGCGAACAAGCTTTGCTAGTAAAAAAGCAAAAATGTCCAAGCTGATTCATCTTATTATGGTGTCAAATATAGCTGCAGTCATGTAGAACCGGAGTTGTTTTGGGTATCTCGAGATAATCTCACTCTCTGAAATCAGTCATGAATGCTTAAAGTGCACTCCCCCTCCCCCCCCCCCAAATGTCGCTTTTCCCATCTCAATGTGTCTCAGTAGTAAGGGCTGAGTCACTATCCTTCAAGGCACTACAATACACGCACACACACATGGTGCAGGTTTACACAAAGACAGTGGTGAGAGAGCTGGGAACAACTGGGGCTTCCTTAAAAGGACTCTAGTGGTTTCAGTCTGAGGCCATGTGTTCTGCCATCCCCCCGTGCTCTATGAGGGATACTGGCAGTGTGTTTTATGTAAGGGTTCAGTCACTTTAGGTTTTGAAACTGAATGTTTATTCCTCTGTTGATAAAAGTATTTATTCATGACATAATGTGTGTTTGCATGTATTTATTCATTTAATAATTCACTCATTTATGTGAATTCATTATTCATTCACAGCCCTAATGTATGCCTCATTTGGGGAAATGTGGTAATATTTAAAGCTTCATCTCGGTTCAACTCGTTTTTAGTATTTCTATTATCTGTGCATTACATTTAAGCGCAGAGTATGTCAAATAAGCCACCAGGGGGCTCTCAATCAAAACAATAACAAAAGATGATGTCGAGGCTGGCGGGGAATCATGGGAGCCCCGGTGAAAACGAACTCTGTGTTCACGACAAACTGGTGAAACCGACAAACAGAGAATATGTTTACCGACGATGTAGCCAAGTATAATTTAAATGATGTTTTTATCACAGCAGGACATACAGCAACAGTACGGCTGCTTTCAATAGCAGCTCCTGCCTCCTTATGCAGCAGTCTTTGATGTAACATCCAGTGTTTCCCTGGCAGATTTCTCTGGCTTTGATAACTGTTGGATTTTTTTTTAGGTAATGTAAAAACTAAACAATTTTTTTTTTTTTGTCAATTTTTTATTAATTTACATATTTGAATGTAAACACTGTCACTAAATTCTACATATTATACCTTTAATGTATATGCAACAACGTTTCCTTATTTTAAAATGTTAAATGATGTGTGTTTTAAATGATTTTGTTCAACCATAGCTGTAACCATGGCGATATGAGATCAAGGCATACACTTCAGGAGAATGGCACTAGGATTTTTCTTTCCCTCCACATTCACAGTTAGTGAGTTATATTTAACTTCTAAGGAAATTCAGCTGGAGCTCTGGAAATAAAAAATCTCATCATTAACTTTTCAGGTTTTTTCACCCTGCTGTCAGTCTTTATTTATCTTGTTGCCAATCTGCTCATAAGGGGCGGGGGTTTTTTTTTGTCAAGAGTGGCAACTAAGAAAGGATATGAGTAAGTCCATGTGGTCCAGAGCAGTGATGACAGGGTTAATCAGATAGTGGCTCTTGAGTCGAGGGCTGTAGGGGGGGGAGAGATCCCTACCACTGGTGGAAAGCCCTCAGAGGTCACGATGTCTAATGAAGATAAAACAGGTCTTTGTCCTGGCACATGGGAGTATCAGGTAGTCTCATCACTGTGCTAGATAAGACTGCATACAACGTGGGCAGCTAAGATTCTTTGCTTAACATAACTGTGATTGTGTGTTGTATTCTTTGATTTCACCGAAGTGTTAACGCATTATAAGCATGTCAGCCTTTGTTGGAATCACTTTCCAACCCTGCACGTGTTCGTTTTTTTAAAAGTTGTACATATCTGAGTGTGAGTTTTCCCTCTCCGTCTGTCCTCAGCTGTCCCCACCTGCTAAAATCTTTCTCCGTCTCCAATTCCTCTTCTCCGTGGCCCAGACGCAGGAGGTGGCGCTCGTCGATATCCAGAGCCATGATCTTTTCAAACAGCTGATTCAGAGCCTGGTGGGGAAATAAATCATAACGAGTCAACATGAGCAGATTAAATATGTTTATTTTGTCATCTATCAACTGGGCCTGCATATTCACCCGTTTTTACTCAATTTTTCTGATTCAATTCTCATGAACTTGCTTCATTTTGAATATAAAATGATGTTTATCTTTATTATATGTGAGGCATTTGCAAGCCATGAAGCTGTAGTCCTTTTCTGCATAAAAAATATGAATTGAAAAAGAAACTATTCCACAAAGTAAGGGTTTTTGCATTGCTCTATTCATTTATTCTTCTTGTGGATAAAGTTCTTCTTGGCAGGCTTCCACTGGAATAAAACAGCAGCAGATTACTTTATGATTAAATACTGAGGGGAGAAGACCGGGGCACCGGGGAGCTTAAGATTTTAATTTTTCCTCCATGGTTTGAATATGACTATCGGCTGATTAATGGGCAGATCTGAGTACAAGCTCTTAATTCACCAGAAAGCCGAGTTTGGGGGACATTTTTTTCAGAGAGGAGAGAAGTGCAATGGAAGTTCATGAGCAGTAATGCGGCCAGTGTGGCCAGTTTACCTGGTTGGAGTGGGTCACTATGAGGGTCCTCTGCTCTGGAAAGTTGTGATAGAGGTTTGAGATGATCTGGACAGCAACATCTGTCTTTCCAGTGCCTGGTGGTCCAACAACCTAGAGACACAGCAAGAGGGGTGAGGAGGGATGATATATACAAAAAAAAAAGTGATAATAGAAAAAAACAATATAAGCACAATATGAAGTTCAGTCTCGAGGCAAAGGCCCTTTCCTTGGAGACACCCTAGTGGTTGTGACAGCTTGGCCATGGGTATGTCAGAACGGGCTAAGCTGGTGCCCCAATGTTAGCCACGCAATGATATACACAATGCAACAAGGCTGAGGTGTCGCAAGGCATGTCAAGACCCAGCGATTGCACGTTTGGGTGAAGAAACAGAGAGACGAAAGAGGGAGAAAGCATAAGTACATAAGTATATAAGTGTATATATTTGAAGTACGTTGTCCTAGTAATCCTTCATCTCTCTACTAGAATTACTGCTCAACTTACCGAGATAATAGGCCTTCTTGGTAATGGGATTTAGCACATTTAATTGACTAAATAAATATTCATGAAACAGGTTGGTATTAGTTTGCGTACCTCGGGTGAATAAATTTGGCTAAAATAGTCAGCACAATTAGACATTCCTGCATTAATCAGTAATCAGTTCCTTGGTTTCCTGACATGAAAGCCGAAAGCCAGGAAGACTGGGAGGTGGGTGTGAGAGGAGAGGAGAGGAGAGGAGAGGAGAGGAGAGGAGAGGAGAGGAGAGGAGCAAGCATGCAGAGTTGTTTTATGACTCTGCTGATAGCGTACTTGCCATATTTACCTCGACTGGCAGCACAATAAATAACTCACACCCCACTGCCAGCATCCAATCACCACATCAGAATAGCACTTCAGTCAAAGTTGGGGCGTTATATTTCTCTTAAAATGACAATAGTAGGCTGGAAGGAAGAGCGTTGGTTGTAGCTGTACACACATACATAGCTGTAAGCCTATGCTAGTTTATGCGTGGAGGACTGTTTCATCAGCACGGGTAAATTTACAGAGAGGGTTTCAGGTTTTTTTTTGTCATCACTCTACATGAGTGATGGAGTTAAGGACACTGAACAGTAGCATATTTACTGTGTGGGAATTCCCTTGGTGTGCATCACTAAGATTAATGGCTGCAAATCTTTGGCTTCATAACAGCAAGCAGGAGCAGTATGCACCTGCAGTATCAGCACTCACTGGAGCACCAGGAAGCTTAAAGATTAGTCAGTACAACTCAATGCAACCCAGGGTTGTGGTGGTGAACAAGTTTAAAGTTTAGCTTCTTGTTGTACTGCTCTCAATGCAATCTTACAAGTAAAAATAAATAAGGTGACTTGGCATGTTTTCCATAAAAGTAGGCATCCATGATAACTTTATGCTGGAGTCTGCACTGCTGAGATATTTTTAGATCAATTATATCTTCCTGATTTTCTTTTAGTTGCTTATATTAAGTCTTAAAGGCCATATAATATCCTCCTTTTCAAGACATTTCAATAAGTCTCAGAGGTCACCAAAACATGTCTGTGGAGTTTCTTATTAAAAATCCACTCTGATCCTGTATTTGATCATGTATATAAACCCCTCTTTTTCAGCCCTGCTCAGAACAGGCTGTTTCTGTGTCTGTAGCTTTAAATGCTAATGAGCTTTGTCAGACCACGCCCCCTCTCTGGAAGGGCTTGGCTATCTCGGACTTTCTTGCTCCATGTCCAATTGTTTACAGCGAGAAGGCAGACTCATAGAGCAGAACATACACCTCGCTGTGGGAGTGTCATCCGCCTGGGGGAGGGGTTACTGCCTTTTTCAACATCACAAAGATAAAATCTCCAAACGGCCTGTTTGAGCACACATTTTCTGAAAAGTGGGGCAGGGGATGGACTTTTCTCATAATTGGGGGGTTTGTAGACAGACTACATACACATTAGCATTTGAAAAAAAGGTAATTTGTATTTTGCATAATATGTGACCTTTGAAGCTTATGTGAGAAACATATGATTCAAAAAGAAAGTCCTTACCATGGTGAGTCCTGGCTGCATCCCTGCTCGAATGGCTTCAATCTGAGTAGGCGTGAACTGAATTGTATTCCTGTAAAAAGTGAATATTGACGATATGAATAAATCAAGAATTAGTTCTAGATACTCCAAAGCCATGACAGATAAGCACAATTGTTGTCGAAGCTTCTCATTAGTTAAAAAAAGATGTTTAATGTTTGTGGGACTATCTTTAAAGGTTTTTAAGCCAAGGCTTCCTCAGGGGACATGTTGTTGTTATCAAGATTGAAATATCAAAGTGAAAACTGGGAATGCAGTATCATTATGAATTTTCACAAAGGACTTTTATTTTGTGTTCTTATAATTAGAAGCAGAATATTTAAGCCTTTTTCCCTCACCTTTAATCGCATTAAAAATGTCCATCTGTAATTGTAGCCATAACAACAGCTTAAATAGCAACACAGCAAGACACGTTGAACAGGTTAGAGGAGATACCATGGGCACAAGCACGGAAAAAAAACTCTGAAAGTAGTCAGGCTCAGAGACAAGAAGCAGTCGTGTGGTGTCTGTGAACTACTTTAAACTGAAAAAGTGTTTTGAATTGAGACTGAAGACTTGAAGTAGGCTCCAAAATAATTCATATTTGGATACGTAATTCAAGAATCATTGCTCTTTTACCATGCACTGTGGGTTGAGTGCTACTTCAGGTGCTACTCAAAAGATGTAGAAAAAAGGTCAATTTCAAAGCAAACTCTGAACAACTTTTTGTCCTGTAATTTCTTAAATTGTGAAAGGGAGTGTTGGCCTCGACCTCGTACCGTTTGGGCTGGTTGTAGGGGTACGGCCCGCGGTTTGGGGTGACATAGGGTTCGACGATCAAGGTCCTGTCTTCCTCTTTCTCTTCTTCATCTGCCTTTCTTTTCTTTCCCTTGTCTGTTTTGTTTGAGATGGGAAACTTGATTCTGGAAGAAGCAAAACATGGATATGAATGACCCAACGTTGTATACATGCAATGTTATACAAGATGATGTTTAGTGAAATACATTGTAAACCTTCAAAAGACCTAGTCATCATTGTATCATTGGAAACTCAATGTCACCTGAAAGGGAAAACCTGCAGTTCAGGATTGTCCTCTGTGACTTTGATGGTGTGACCTGGGAAACAGGATCTTAAATGGTCCAGGGACAGAAAGGTGTCATTGAAGTCCAACGTGGAGATCTGGTTTGGCATCTTGGAGTAGTGGGCACTGCCTGGGTCACCATAGCCAAGGATAATGTCGTGAAGCCAGTCTGGGACCACACACTCTGTGTTCATCAGGTTTCTGATGGTCTCTAGCACCGCCTAAACCAGAGAAGCAGATAACTAAGTAACAGATACTGAACCGATAGATGAAAAAGTATCTAACTGAATAAAGCATATCAGACAGCAGACAAAGATCCCACGTGAGGGGGTTCAGCTGGATAAGAATAGCTTTGTTGTGGGCTGGTGGGACAGCAGGTAATTTGTATGTCTGTCAATTATATTTTAATAAGCTGCAACCTGTCTAATACCCTGAACATCAAACGCTGGGAAGGGGAGACATGTTTACTTTTATCTTTGTCCCACATCAAAGCTGGTAAGAATGTTTCCTGAATACCCATTAGTTCCTGCACTTTTCAAATTCATAAAGAAAAAAAGAAACACTTCAAAATCATCTGTCATCACTCTGGCTTGTGAAAGACAGATATGGGGGTGCTGAATTAGGAAAGCAGTTTTGACACAGCAGGAATGAGGAATAAATAAATGATGTGAAAAATCAAAAGGGTGCATGAACGTGTAAACATAAATAAAAGAAGATGAACAAAATGTAGCAAAACTTCTTAAAAAATGTATTTTCGACAAAAGTTTTACACATTCACATCGCAAACTTCTCTTTGACCTTCTTAAAAAAACAATGCAGGGTTCTGCAGAGGGCACCTGCAAATCTACCAAAAGCTCAACAACACCAAACCCCCACAATGCACGCTGGCTGCAGCAGGAAGAGTCTTAGGGGTGAGAGAGAGGAGGGGGAACACGTTCCAAGAATATCCAGTGAGAAGTGTCTTTCATTGGGATCATCGTGAGGGCCTTGAGTGGGGGGGGGGGGTAATCTCAGAGTTGCCCTGGCCCCAACCTTACAGCTGCAATAGCCAGCAGAGTATAATATGTGCGATGCATCACTCTGGGGTGGTGTTGGTAGGACCAGAGCTCAAGGCCTGAGGATAAAGCACTCAGAAACGATCTACAATGAGGGCTGATCTGAGCTGTGTGTGTGTGTGTGGGGTGTAGTCCAAACCTTGAAATTATTCTCCTTGGGTTTGCGTCTCATGATGACGTTGAAAGTCTCGTACGGGTCTTCTATGCCGCTCTGAATACTGCTCGTCATGTCCTGTTGATACTGGTTCGGATCAAGCCACACACGGAAGGTTCGGGCGTCTCCTCGCAGCTTAGGCTTTGGCTCAGGTCCTAGACCGGAATGTTTTTTTGGGGAGAGGAGATGTTACAGCAGTGTAATAATGAAAGCCTCTAGATCCAAGTGTGTGTCTAACTTTTCAAACCACGTTCACTTGGGGTGGGAATATCAGGGTAACTCAAGATGACTCATGATCATGAATTCTGTGATAGTTTATATATTGCAAGACAATCAAATGAAAAATCATGACATGTGATTTATGCAAGAATGAAAAATGTCCTTAAAAAGAGCAAGATTAATGTATTTATTCATTGCCGTTAGGGGTCAGTTCCACCTCCCATCAAACTTTATATCTTAACTTCTTCTAAGACGTCAAGCCTTCATTTTAAAGCCTTCTTTTTCATCTTTGGCCAATAAACTTCTTTCTTTTCTTTTTGGGCATTTTGCCTTTATTTGATAGGAGAGTGGATAGAGTAGTAAACCGATATGTGTGAGTGGGGAATGACCATGTGGGAAAGGATCCACATATCAGACTTGAACCTGGGCCACCCTCGTAGCCTCCGTACATGGGGCGCGACGCAACTTATAGGCCATCTGCGCACAAATCAAGTTCTGGTGAAGTTACCCATGTTCAGGTCAGAAGCGCCGCACTGAGGAGCCATGGAGTAGTGACGCAGTGACTCGAATTGCCAGTCGTTTGGAGCGCTGTGTTTTTGTAATTCAAATTTAAATATCTGGCACCAGCGATACAATAATTATCACACGAGCCAGGGCAATGATATACTGCATATCCCATATTTTTGTACACTCCTAGCACTTATAATCAACAGACAAACATCCATATAGGCCAGCACATTCAAAAAGAGAATGACAGGGAAAATATTCGGTGGAAAATCTTTTGGCATTCAAGCATCTCATTCAACAATAAAAACCATTTTAAAAAGAGCTATCCCTAGCTTGTCTCGCTACAGTGCTATGATTTCCTCAGGAATTAAATGAATGCGCTTGACTGACGGGCCGCAGGCTTATGGCTTACTCCCGTAGGAAGCCTGTGTGGTGCAGAAAATGCAGCTTTCACAGATGTCTCAATAGATTCTTGTATGAAGCCGCAGGGCACAGACGCGAGTAGTACAACTCAATCCTGTTGGCCCGTGTGCCCATCCATGTATCTCATCTGTGTGTGCGCACATGTGCACTGATATGTGGGGAACATCAAATCCCCCTTTCATAAATCAGTGTGGTGAAAGCTTAATAGTGGAGGCTTCACCCTGAACACTGTTGGATAACAATGTGGACAGCTGAGTGAGGTATGTGGGCATTTAAACAACCATGTGACATTGTGTTAAACTGTCTGTTTTCAAAAGTCATACATTATCTATACTGAGATGCACTGTTTTTATATTTTAAGAAATGTTTCTTATTGAGCATTGCTGTTTTATACTTTTTATACACAATGCAAGTCGGTTACTATGAACACTTTCAACTTCATGGTACAGCTCGGCTTGACTTGCTTGGAAACATTTGCTGACTTGACTGTATTTTATTAACACTAGTTGTGGACTAACTGGTGCTTTTTTCTTTAATCCATTTGGCCGAGGTTCCAAGCAAGCTAATGTTATACTTAAAGTCAATTTGAAATCACTGCTGAGCACTGATTGGTCGCAAACAATCGCCACTCGCACTACTCAGAAGTTTGGTACAGCAGTCTAGGGCAGTGAATTTTCAAGGAGTTTAAAAACGCATTCACACAACACTGATATTACACAGCGAAGGTTCCAGCGTATAATATTAAATGCATAAACACAGTGTTGCTATGAACAAAAAGAAGGTACCGTCTGCAATGGAAAACAGTGCAGACAAAGTACTGATATTAGTAGCATACAAGTACATCCAGTTAAAACAATCTTGTGCTGTCTGGAAAAGCAGCTCCACTGTCTCAAAATGCTCCCCTCGGCTTGTGTGTCCTCTCACCTTCACCATGTGTCGGGTGATGTATGTGACATCACCCCCCTTGCCCAGTCAGCCAGAGTACCTCTTAGCCCCGATGGGGATCTGAAAGTTTAACCAAGCCTACATTGGCAGGGCATGTTCCCCGGCAGCATGTCTATTTAGTATGCCCTGCCTGCTGTATATTTAATCCAAACAGATGAGACAGAGAGACAGAGAGGGGGGAATGGGTGCTTCAGTGCTTAGACACATGTTCCCACAAGGGAACCGCTCACAGCACCATGGCTGCAGACTAACTCAGGTGAACCCACCCCTCAGAGGGATTGCTTCTGGCAGTGGGGGAAAACATGACACAGATAAGGAGATCCTGTTACTGTAAGGCATTTCATACTTGTTTAGGAAAGGCCAGACCGGATCAGAGATTAGAATTTTGTCCGAGAGGATTTTTACCATGCAGACAGACACTTTAAATAAGCTCTAAACGTCTGATTTTGACCAAAGTGAATCTTTTCTTTTGTCAATATATCACAGCTTTCAAATTAATTTTCAAGCTGTGCTAAAATGTGTTATTCAAAGCTACAACCCATTGTTCCTTTGGACACCGTGTTTCACAGACTGAGGTGAAGTGATTCCTTTTTGGTCAGGGTTTTTTTCGCGTGCAAAGAGAATCTCTTGGCGTCCCAAATAGTAAGTAAGCATGGTCACTGCTGGGTTGACACAAAGTTGGCAAATTCGGCTCCTCCCCTACGCGGTGTGAGGGGGTGGGGCTTAGTTAATTTCTGCATTATAGCCACCTTCTGAAGTGTTCAGATTATGTTTTATATCTCTTATCGTCAGGATTGCTCGATCACTTCTGTTCTCTCTCTCTCTCTCTCTTTCTCTCTCTACATGGAGTTTTGTTTTAATATATTTTAAAGGCAGTGACATCATGAAGACATTTTTGTTTATCATATGTTCAAAAATAACAGAAAGACAAATTCATTTATGTCAAATAAGGCAACACTCATTGACATTACTGTATGCTAAATGCTCATGCTTACTGTCGTACACAGTCAAATCTCAACCTCTCTTTCCGAGCCGGGACAAACCCTGACGATATATGTGACTTCATCGTGCAGGACAAGCACATTTGGTGTTCTCTTACCGAAGCACATCCATCCGGATATTGCCAATCGTCCCTTCAGTTAAATCCAATAAATAAAACAGAGGGCAGGGCACACAGAGCTCCCAGGTGCTGTTGTCGACCTCAGGTTAATGGAATGTTAATGTGAACAGGTCAGGTCTCACTGTGCCTGTCACCATGACAACACCACCCTGACCCACTCTCGTGGATCTGTCTTTGGGGTGATTTTGTATAGGAGGTATGATGGGTGGAGGGATGTCATGTGCTGCTTTTGTGTGTGTGTGTGTGTGTGTGTGTGTGTGTGTAAGCAGGGGCGCATATGAGCCTACCTTCTTCAATGACACGTCCCTTATCATCCAGCATGCCCTGCACCTCGCAGCCTCTCACGTACACCAGGCCAGTCTGCTCCACAAAAGGCTGGCGGCGGTCAAAGCGCGTGCCGTAGGGCAGGTTGGGCCGCACCGTGACCAGAAAGCAAACGTCGTGCTTCCGCAGGCCTTTAGGGGAAAGAGGATGGGGAGAAATATTAAGAGAGAAAAGGGGAAAAAGATAAAGAGTTTTAGAGACAGGAAAGAGAGACAGAGGAGGAGAAGGATAGAGGAAAGCACGGGGATTAGGGAAGGTGATGGAGGAGTGAGACTGAGTGGTAGCGAGCCAGGGTTTGGAGATGCGAGCAAAACCGCTCTGTCAGCTTTTGCCTGATCTTTAAAACATGAGGCTCTAATTACACTTTGGGGAAACGGCTAGAGGATGGAAGGAAGTAATGCTTCATATCTCCACTGAATTACAAGGAAAAAAAAAGAAAAACCATAAAAGTAGATATATATTTTAAAAAGTCAGCCGTCAATTTGGGAAATATTAGACATCCTTTTTTTAATTATCCAGTGATCACCCCATTGCTGAAAGAGTCCCTTCAATTCTATATTAAATAGTGCAATACACCAATGGCATAAATTGGCATGGAGACATGTCCTATATCTTTCTCTGGAGAGCTACAGTTCAGCCTGCAGAGGGCTTCATTGTGTGTTCCATGTTCCCAGTGAATCAATGTCTTTCAAGGCTGACAAGCTCCTGTTACCATTACATACCGTGCCCTTATCAGCCACACAGAGAGACAGAAAGAAAAACGATCAGAGAATAAAACGAAGAGGCTGGTAGCGGCTACAAAATGGCACGTCTTCACAGAAAGATGAGGCGGGTAAGGGTCATGAGTCAAGGCCCAGTGGGATGGTAAGGGAAGATTTTATGGAGGTTATAAACTGCTTACTTGGAGGACTATTGGAAGAAGAAGAAAAAGGCAGAAACAAAGGAAAAGAAAATGTGTATACAGCTAATTCAGTCTGCTAGTTTCCCCATTGTCTTACTGCCTTGTAAGGAAAACAATAAGAGAATGCAGAAAAGCGAGATTAGCGTTAATAATACAGATGATGATTTGATGCATGGTCTCATATTTACCTTCCCACTCATGCTTGATATGATCTTGAACATTGAGGTTAACAGTAACATCGGCTCGCACACGGGCGGGCCAGCTCTCTCCGATGTTTGGCTTGGCAACCTCCACGATGGAAAAAGCGGTGATGTTCTGAGCCATCCTGGCCCAGCCGCCGAACACCGCACCTCCGTACTCCGATTGCCTGTGCACAAACAGACACAACAATAAGTAAGACAAGCGCTGTGGGCTGTTGTCAAGATTGAAATCAGTTGGATTTAGGGCAGCACATGGCACTACTGCTTACTTATTTACATTTGCAGAAACAACAAGCAAGTAGCAACATCACTTGACATAATGGGAGCACTTATTATGTTAAGCAATGGGTTTCCAAATGTGGTGTGCCAAGTGTCACAGTCTGAATAAAATATTATCATTGTGCCATGCCACCATGTGAGTGCTACACAGAGGATAAGAATCTTCGTTTATTGAAGTAAAAAAAAAAAAAAAAAAAAAATCAAAGTGAGCCGAGTTAAAGGTGGAAATTTGTTCTACTGCGGCAGAAAGTAAATCGGAGATGCTAATCAGCACGATGCAGGAACCTCAAGTGTGCTCTATATGATAATAATCATCTCCACTGTTTTAGCTTTTTATTGCACTCAGGTCTCTAAACTAGTTCATAATGAGTATGCATACATCCACACATTTCACTGTATATATAACATTTTGATGCCTTCAGCTCCAAAGGGGATTTTTCTCACATCCTCTTAAATCTTTGTCATTTCAACATGTAGAGGAAGACCATTATCACTCAGCTGATATTATGGATACATGGAATTGAGCTTGTAGTGCTTTTCTAGTCTTTTGACTACTCTAAGTGCTTTTACACTGCATGTCACACCAATAGATTCACACACTGATGGCAGAGGTTGCTATGTAAAGTGACCAAAGTAACTCATCCCATTCATACACATTCATAATCTTCTCAGACAAAGCAGCGGGAGCAATTTCGGGTTAGGTGTCTTGCCCAAGGACACATCGGACATCTTGCTGCAGGAACTGGGGATCGACTGACTCTATCAACTGAGCCACAGCCACTCTATATGATAATAACCCCTTAAGATCAGGAGATAGAGCCATCACACAGACATTTATTTTGGCCTTCATGTTTTTATGATGCGGAAAATACAGAATATATAATTTATAATACAATGTCTGGCACTGCTTAGAAATCATGTGTCATTAGGCAGACAGCGTTCAGCACTAGAATCAGTAAACAATGTATAATATTAAATATTCTTCAATAAAGTCACATGTTCAAAAATTAATCTAAGTGCTTTTGCAGAGTCATGTCCTTGTCAAATCAGTGAGCTGTTCATGTTTATTTTCATTTCAGCTCAATAATTCACGTCAGGTTCTCCTCTCTTAAATCAGAATTGTATTGGACTTGAAAATCATTTATAAAACAAGATACAGTTATGAGATGTTATCAGAAATCAAGATGTATTTTATCAAATTCACCAAAATGTTTTAAAATCAGAAATTGTCACTTTTGTACCAGGGACAAAAAAAGAGATTCTCGATCAATACTCTCTCAGTTTTACAGAAGTGAAGACATCTCACCATGGTTTCATCCGCCACACCACGTCTTCTATGTCCTGTCTGATCTCATAGGTGGACTCCAGACGGAAGAGGTTGAAGTTCCTCAGCAGGTAGTCATGGAGGGTCAGGAACTGGAGATTCAGCTTGGGTAGTGCGAGGCAGCCTGAAGAGACACAAATATCAAAAAACAAGGTATGGAAAGGTTAATATAATAATCTAAACATTTAGCGCAAACACACAATAATGATGAGTAAACCAAAGGTCATCATTACCACAGATTTTCAATAAAAGGATTATTGTGTGAAGTTACATGACCTATGTGTTGCACCTATACACTATTAAATGTCTACCTGTTACAGCCAAAGAGTAATACACTAAAGAGGTGTTGCTTGAATAGAGAATGTTATGAGAGCTGTTTAAGGTGTCCTTGCAGACTTAAGAGGATTCCCTTAGAGAGAGAGTGTCGCTGCAGTGCCAGATGAGTGCCCTTAAGACAGGAGGATAACAGGTGAGGGTGTATACTTATGATGATGACACACAGTCTAGACACTGAAATTAGAAGGAGATTTTCTCTCCAGTGCACATTGCCTCACAAAGGCAAGACAATCACAATCCACGCGAGCAAGACACACCTTCCCCTGAGTAGTACTCCGTCGGAACAATGTTCTCATCCCAGATAATCTTCTCTGTTGGATAAAGGGGCATCTGGTTAAGTTGCTCAATCTGAGAGATTCTGCGTTCATGGCGGGACACCTGTGCGTGAGCCAAACACAGAGATAGAGAGACAGAGAGAGAGAGAGAGAGAGAGAAGATGGAGGAATTTAGTTAATGAACAAATAGATGGCTTCCTCAATGAATCCTTCGTTTTATCGGGAATTAGCGAAGAGCGGCCAGCATCATTTCCCAGTCCTATACGCAACACTTTCAAATGTCTTATTTGTCCAATTGTCAAAATACTAAGAATATTCAGTCTGGAGATAAACATCCTGGTTAAAAAACAAGCTTCAACAGTAATGGTGGGAATCAGTGGATATCTTATGATACAATATATGGCCCATGATATCGACATCATAACATATTGCAATTTGCTTGTCTGTAAAATTGACATTCTTATAATGATACATCACAATATCTGAATGACTACAAACGATTTGACAAGTGTACCACAAGAGTCAGGATGACAATATATCACTGTATCAATTTGTCCAATCCCTTGTCATGGGTACGTCTGAGTGACGTCACCCATCTGTTACTGCAGGGGGACATTTTTTGGATGTTGTGTGTGTGACCTCCGGGGCTCTTTGAGCAAACTATTTTTATTTTTTGAACATCCACATTGGCTTCATTTTTCGACACTGGAGGTTGCTGCTTGGTCAAAAAAATGTATTACACTAATCTGTGAGTAACCCAGTAACTGACTAATTAAGGTTTTGAGGATGTAAAATAATTTCCTATTTCAAATAAAGTGATATTCACTTATATACAAGTACAAACCCTCTCATGTGTTCTACACACAACATAAACAGCCAAACAGCCCATGGTGGTACTGGTGTAGCAACAGTCCTGACTTTCATAAGCAGTATGGCTCCTCATCCCTGACCATGTTTATGAAAATGCTTTCTGCAGCCAGTATGACTGCTTTTGCTACCATGTGGTAGAGTTTAAGTCCTCAGGCCCCTTCAGATCAAACTCTCACAGTCAGGCATGTTGGAGGGAAACCTCAGGCACACACAAATAAGTCCCCTGATATTGTCTCCTGCATCCATATAATCTGATAGTTATGAAACAGTTCTTCTCCATGGCTTCTTGCAGAGGACCTGGGGAGAGTCTGAGTGGGTAATTATAAGTAACTGCCGGACCACCATGCAACACCCACTTTGATGAAGAGGTCTACTGCACATGTGTGAGTGTGTACTGGGGAGACAAGCAAGTCAAGGGTCCTGTAGTTTACTGGAGGGGTTTAAAAAAAGAAGAAAAAAAGGGAACAAGGGAAGGAGCACAATCAAGCTTCCCTTGGCTTTTCAAGAGACGTTAAAAAATAGACGTGGGGGGGGGTAGGGTGGGCCTCTCTGTCTCATCAGCATTGCGTTCAATTCAGCCTGAGTCCCACAATTGCTCATATAAAGCAGTAATTGGATTAGAAGGCAACATTCAGGAGGGACCAGGATTGAAGGATACTATACGTATTTCAAGGTCAAGGTCCAATTAATGGGTTTAAAATGAGAAAACACAAAAACCTTTTATGCAGTAACGCTGACTAGACAGTTATTGTCCAGGTGAATAACTGTTTACTCACAATGTTTGCAGAGGTGCAACAATACTAATTGAAAAATTAAATTTGACAAGTGCAAAGTGCCCTAAGTATTATATTATGATATATTATATTTAACTGAATATATATAATACATTTTAAAAAACGAGCTGGGTTTGACCAAAGACTATACTATACAAGATGTGATCAATGTTTCTTTATCAGCTGGTTCTCCCACCGTGAAGCCTCAGCCCTGAGTTGTATGACAGTTACCTTAAAGGGATGTTACTTGACAATTTGAATACAAACAACATTTCTACAATCAAGATTTCACTGTTAAAATGTCTGCACGGAAAATAAAATGTAAGACTGCACTCACCAGCAGCTCAAGGAGAACCTCCTTCTCATAGGTGGTATCTTGGCCTTCGGAAAGCTCTGGCAGCAGACACAGGTACGAGGCCACCCGGTGGAGCGTATTGGGACTACAGATAGAAACGAGACAAGTGATTAATCAGCTACAAAAAATGAATTTGCAAATAACACATTTAGCTGACACGCTTGACAGAGCACAGATTGAAGTTCAAGGAAAACGCTCTGGTGACTTAAATGTCTGAGATTATGTGAAGTTTACTCCCATCACAAAGAAGTTTACTCCCATCACAAAGATATCAAAAGTAATAGTCATATGTTGTGACTGATGCATTTTAATTATAGAGAGACATAGTGTGTGGGTCCAGCTTCTTTTCTGGGACACTACCTCCCTTCTGAGAAGATTTCTCATACATCGACGGCAACACCCCTATATGTGTGAAGATACACAGCCTTGTCAAATTCTTTGTGCTTGTTAGCACTGCAGCACAAAGCAATACTTCTGTTTGCTTTGACACTGCACTCCTGCGCTGTCAGCATGTGTGTGTTGAGGGGCCGGGGCGCACTGATGCGACAGGATTATGAAAATCAAAGCACATCTTCGTCTCAGAAAGCTGAGGCACGGCTCTCTGCATACAGACCTGTTTTAATCAGGTTGACACACTGTGACAAAGGCAGGGTCCTGTACACAACGAAGGACGGGGGACTGGACGCACGGTGACAAGCCTGGACAGCCACACGTGGTGCTGACTGACTGTATCCGTGTCTGTGCATGCATTCTGCGACTTGTGATGCCTCGCTTGGGCGGTGGGGTGGCAATTCTGCCAATTTTGCAGTCTGGTGGCCCAGTGGATGACCTGGCATTGGTCATGTGGAGATTTCTTCCCTTAGCAACAAAAATAAAAGCAGCACAACAACTCACTCTGAGTAATGAAGATGACTGGACCAGGTCATGACTGACAGCTGAGCTACTGGCAGGGTAAAGGTAAGGATGGGAAATCCAGAGTAACTAGTCTACAGTAAGTTTACTCAAAAGCATGACGGCGGTCGTGTCCTTGTAAACAGCCATCCATTAAGCATGTGACCTCATTACGTTGGCTAAATTTGTATAGATCAACCAAAAGCTGAAACGACATCAAGAGCCCAACATTTCTCTTGAATTAATGGAACAAAGAGCCCAAATCTGCTGAAAAACAAGGTTCTTTAAGCTTCACCATGTTTTATCCTTTCTGCAATCATCATATTATATTCTAAAAAAAAGGAACAATTCACAGAAAATTTAAATTGATAAAATCTTAACACCCTATCCAGTGACAGGCCAACGCAGAAGAACTAATCCACAGAACTAATTACACCCATTATTTTTGACATCTCCAGTAGTGATGCCTTTCTTTCATTTTTGCTAGCATTTCACAAAGTCTCTGCAAACCCTTTGATCTTGGAGTCAATTCATTATTTGGCCTCGAATGACACTCAACACGTTTTATGTAACTGTGAGTGTGTGAGTGTGTGTGAGAGAGAGAGTGAAAGAGAGATAGAGAGAGAGAGAGAGAGACAGAGAGAGACAGAGAGAGAGAGAAAGAGTGGGTGCGTATATGTGTGGGCAGGCTATGCAATAATGCTACATTTGTGTGTTTGGGGGACTTAGCAGATAAATTCAGAGCGGCGGGTGACTGGGAGCTTAGCCTGTGGGTAGCGCAGCTGGAATAAACTGGCATTAGCGTGAGTTGTTTGGATGAAAAGTGCCTCGTTAAATCTGATCGGCATATTTGGAGTTACCCAGGAGCTGCTTTGGTGACAGTTCAGAGTAGGGAACAATGCGGTTCCTGCTATATTCAAAACCCTAATTCTGAGGAAAGAAGCAGAGCTTCAGGAAAACATGAAATGGTTCAGCTAAGTCTTTACCTGATTCAGCTCGGCTTGCCTCTGCCTGACTCAAAGAAACTTAAGAGTGGGTTTTAAAGCATTTATAATCCACTTGAAGAGCTAAAAAGAGGTGATGAATATATCAAAATCAACAGCAAAGAAGAAATGTCGTTCCAACATGGCACCCCAGAACAATCGTGACAAATGAAATTTCCTCAAACAAACAGGTGATTAGTTACCACCTTTGAGGGTGGGAAGGGGCCAAAACAATATGACCTTCTACAAGCCCGGGTCAATAATTTAAGCATTTACGTTATGATACCAACTGCCAAGCAAGGTTATAAACCCTGAAGTAATTACAAATTGCAAGCAAATCAATGCCTTTTTATTGCCTTCGCACATGTGTACAAGCTAAAAATCCACACACAGGCCATTCATCAAAGCGTGGCTGCTTTTGGCTCTTTGGCAAGCTAATATGATCTGACAAACACAGCTGTTCAAAGAGTTTATTCTCAAGCCACTGCAAATCGATTAAATTAATGAGGCGTGCTTCTCTCTCTGGCTGGTACCAGCTGCCTGTTCAAGGGCTCGCTAGCTGCCATTTAGCAGGGAAGTCAGGCAGCAACGGTGCTGCTGATGCTACACTGGAACACCGACAGTCTGCACATGTGCTGGTGCTTTAACTGTGGATACACTGGTTAATGACCCAGAATGGTAAAAAGCCAAAAGGGTGAGTCAGCTTCATGTAGATTTGCTTTATGGTCATGCTTAAGGAAGTGGTCCTGTTAGCATAAACAACCCTATGGCGCTACAGCATCTGAGAATTAACAGTTCACGTTAATTCATCTCCAGCGATGCTTAACTTCACACCACATCCCTCCATCTGTGCATCAAAAGCTGCACGCACACTTGTTCCATCACGATTCATTCAGGATGTTGTGATTTACCTGAGGTGCCCAAAGTGTTTGGTGAGGGAGTCTCGAGTGTCCACTGCTGCGACGTTGGCCAGAGCAAAGTCTTGCAACTCCGGGAAATGAGCAAACGCCGCCCTCTGCAAGACGGAAAGAACACGCTCACACTGATGTCCAAATACACACGATCCCAGAAATATTTCATTTTGAACCACTCACTAAAATAATTTTGTGGGAGAAAAAAAAAGCACAATAACGTACATAAACGTGATGATGGGTTGCAAAATGTAAGGTCTTTTACCTGCAGGGAGAGGATCCGGTCATAGTGCAGAGTTGTCATCTCTTTCCCTGTCAGTGCATTTCCTGTCTGGTCGCTGATCTCGAAGCCGGTGTAAAACTTCAGCATGTCCAGCAACTGCAGTAATGACACGATAAGAATGAAAATGGAACAGAGGCTCCTCATGTCGCTTTTCTTTGTGCCCTTGTGTTTGCGAGTGTGTGTTGTGTACCTGACAGAAGAGGTGCCCCTCCTTCTCTCTCTGGGTGAGGCTGGACAGGTGGCAGCGCACCATCAGGTGAGAGTCGTCTAACACTGTGTTGAACCAGCGCCTGGTGGGCAGCAGGGCCTACACACAAAGGACAACAAGCAGGAGATCAGAAGCTTACAGTTGTGGCTACATAACAAAATCTTACAGTTCTCAAAACAACTGTCCGATGCTTCTTCACCATTGATATGAGGAATTTGATATTGCATGAACAAACACCTAAAGGGGTCCCAAGAATCAATCACTCATTACATTTCCCAGCATCTGGACCACAACTGCCCATACATACTATTGATCCATGGTCTTTTTTTGTCTTAAGGTTGTTTTGAAACATGATAGAGCAGCAGCGATACGGCAAACTGGGAGAGATGAAGGGAAAACAGGCGGGGGGGGGGGGAAACAAGGTTCATCTTCTATAGCTGTTAATTATTTGCTTGTTGCAGCACACAAACATGACGTGAAGGCAGCGGAGAGGAAACCTGTCAAAATGAGATAACGGGGCTGCTTTGTTTGGAATATAAGAAAGAAATCCTGGACATGTTTATGAGCTGACAGCCAGCGTGAGAGAATGACTTGTGCATAGAGAACAAAAAAAAAAAGAAGAAGTTTAATCTATCATATTTAAAGGCTGAAAGAGAAGATCTACGGGGGGGGGAGCTGCATTGTAAGTATGAAATGGAATACTAAATTGCAAAACACCAACATAATGCAATATGTATTATTTAATTCAAAGGAAGCTGCTCTTCAAAGACAGCTGGTGCAGCAAGAGATACCTAAAGAGGGGTAACGGATACCTTTATATCCAGCAGCCATCTTTGATCTCAACACAGTCCTGACAGCCAGCATGAAACAGGCATGAAAAACGGGGCTCTATTTTCCCTGCATTCATTTTCTGGTCGTCATCAGAGAGGGGAAGTATGGATTTCAGGCAACGGAGGTTTTCTAAGAGGATAGCGCTGAAGGACAGGAGATGTCTCCTGAGACCATCAGCTGGCCGGCCACTAGCCGCTGCCAGGAACAACGAGGCTGGCCTGTCAGCAGGCAGCCAGATGAAATCTATTGAGCTTCCTCGCTAGTAACAGGAGATCTGCACAGGCAGCAAGAGAGAATCTCCAATGTGACATTGTGTCTTCACTTAGAAAGACAACCTCATCGCCAAGTATGTCCCTCTTAAAAAAAAAACATGTCAGATTCTATTTTTCCTCAATGGTTTTCTTTAAATGATCCTTAATGATGACATTTTACAATGGTGTCTGTTCATTATGAGGTATGCAGACTTTCTCTGCAGATGTGGACAATGCATAAGTAATATCTTATAATGCAGAGTGTTAATTGCTTCTGATATACATTACAGGCACACTCTGTCGAAGACCACACAGGATTTAAGGTTTTGATCTTCTGTGAAATCTGTCCCCACATGTGCATTTCAGTTTGTGGGCGCTGTCCTGTGTAAGAGAGCGCAAACTGCAGTTGTTTCTGGAACTATCAACTGGTCCTTTGAAGGAGTAACACTTACATTTGTGCTATTCAACTGAGTTTTGAAAAGTCTTTGTGATTAAATGTCAGTATTTGACTGCAAGAAGTCCAACAGTAAGGATTTATGGCCACTTATTCAAGTTAATGTTAAATGGACTTGAGCTTGTGTAGCGCTTTTTTTAGTCTTCTGAATACTCAAGGCGCTTTTGCACCGGAGGTCACACCTACACATTCACACACTGATGGTAGAGGCTGCTATGTAAAGGGACCATCAGAAGTAACTAATCCCATTCATACACACTCATATTGCCAACGAAGCAGCGGCAGGAATACGGGTTAAGTGTCGGACATGTTGCTGCAGAAGCTCGGGATCGAACCCCCAACCTTCCAGTTGAGAGACAACCCACTCTATCAACTGAGCCAATGACCTCTGCTGCTGTGTATTTCACCTACAAGACATCTGTCTCAAATGGGTATGCATCGACTGACAGCAGACAAATGAAGAACTAAAGGTAGAGAATCTGAAAAGTACTTGATTGGTTCATGGTAATAGATTACTTAAAAATGGTTAATAATAAAAAGCAAACATGGACTATTCTAATTGCTCCTTCAATCGAAGTATTTTTTTTCCAGAGGGGAATTGGGTTTAAGGTCACGACAGTCCTATCCAACAGACACTCTTCAGCTCTTCAACTTTTAATCTCAGAAGTCATCAGGCTGATAAAAACTTGACAACAGTTTCAAAACGGGCTCAGCTCTGCAGACAGCAACGAAAGAGACACATTAGGTGGAGCTGAGACTCAACATTTATGTGCTGTCTGTTGACCTGAGTTGACTATAAATTTGAAGGACAAAAAAAAAAAGAAGCAAATGAGCTGTGCAGAAATGGATGTCTACACGGCTTCCTTCATCAGGATGTCGTGAGTAAGCAAATATACTGAAGCCCTACACTCTTCTAGTGTGCATACGAGGTGGAAATGAATGTCTGACGAGACTGTGTTAAGATTGAGTGCGTCATCATTACTGAACTTCCCCCTCGGGATAAATGAAGTATTTCCGATTCTGATCTTAAACAGTAAAATTCTAAATGACACAATCCCATCTAGGGGCAAGGTATGAAAAGTACAAGATTGGAATGTAATGCTTTGGAATTGGATGTTCCTTACCTCCAAATCAATCATGAGTTCAATGAATCTCTCGCAGTAGTGTATTTTGTCCATGGATACAGCGCCTATGGAAAAGAGAGAAGGTAATGAAAGGTGAGCACTTAACAGATGAGGAAATGATGATGAGAGGAGGCTATGTCGTGATCGCCAAGAATAAGAGGACAGCAAACGCATATGGACACCGCCACAGTGCCATGCTGAGTATGTACAGCGTCACGATAAGACACTGCATAGCCAGCACGGCGGCATGCTGGGTCCTCATCCCTCATTAAGTATGTAAGTGTGTTATGTGTGCATGCAAGTTCTGTGTACACTTAAAGTTAAGGAATGCAGCACGTATTAGAGTGATGTGGATCCTGCTGGGCTTTGGATCGTAATCTTCCCTGTCAGGTTTGAATTCTACCTAAACACACAAATACACATGTTCTGTTTTTAGCATTCAGGTGGGAGGCCTCTATGTCGGACTGCATTACGACACAGAAGTCAGTGCCGGTGGCTGTGTAGCAGCTGGAGCACATGCTCCTTCGGCATCTGCACGACTCAGGAAGAAGAAGAAAAAAAAAAGAGGGAGAGGTAAAACTTGAAAAGTGATGAAAAAAGGGGGGGGGGATTTGGATTTCATTTGGGCATATGGCCCAAGACTAAGGATAAGTGATCTTTGATAATGTGCATGCTCTTGAGAGTCTGAGTACATTCATTATGCATGGGAAGGTAGAGAGCATGTGGAAAGAAAAGAAAACCTTTTTAGACCAAAATCTCAGAACAATCCTGCAGATCCATCAGTATTTTGAGTATACATCCATACTAGAGACGCACATTTTTCATTAAAATAGGATCAAGATCTGAGGATTAGATTTTTTGAAAGTAGTGCCATGGTGTACAAAACAACATTATGAAATCCCCAGGGGAAATAAATGTATTTTTCTCTGTTTACCTGATGGCGGAATCGACATGAGAACTCCAAGAAACTTTTTAATGAGAGCTGAGAGGAAAGTCCTCTCTTTATTCGCCCTGAGGAAAAAAAAACACAAAGGGAAAAAGGAAAATCAGAAAAGCTTAGGAACCTATTAGACATAAAATGAAAATGTACTCGTCTGTATGGTTTTGAACAGGCGAGCATAGAAGATTGTATTACTGCTCAGCTGCGTCAGCATCCATTTGATCAGATTTCTTCTTGATTAGATTCCAGAACTTCTGCAGCTTTGGGACTTTTTTCAGCTCATGTTGGAGTCTGGACTGTAAACGTGACAAAAGCAAAACCAGAGCCAAGTTTTGAAGTATTTAGTGTCACAGCATGGAGTCAATTCTTTCTTCATAAAATGATCAGACATTGTTGCCTAATAAAAACCAGAACAACGTAATAAGGATAATAGGTTGACTTCTTACTGGTAGGAGGCACATCCACATTGGAAGAGAGATGAGCTGCTGCACCTGCTCTCTGATCAAATCTACCTCCTGAGAGAGAGAGAGAGAGAGAGAGAGAGAGAGAGAGAGAGTTGTCAAAATGCACTGTGTATGACAGATTTTTATTACACTTCCCCCATAATAAAAGTCTGCAACTAAAATATTTAGAGGCCTTTATAGGATACAATCAAAGTGCAGCAGGCTATCACAGCAGATTTGAAAGTGAGACATCTGCAGTGCTTCCCTGTGGTTTAATGCGGCTGTGGATGATACAGATGGGGAGGGAGCTGACCCAAGCTGTAGTGCCTAATCTATTACTGCCACCTAGTGGACATTGCAATTACATGACTTGGTGGCACATTTATCATGACAAACAAGGCATTACCAACATAAAAGACACTGTAAGCCAGTTTTAGGCAAATAGGGTTTTTATCTAAAATGTTCATGCAAATTCCTTGAGGTAATATTTTAACAAAGAATGTAAGGATGTTGATTTCTCATTCATCTCTTGGTTTATTTGTCAAACGTTGGTTCTCTGTCCTGAACACAGATGTTGTTGACATGAATACACTGCAGTATAATAAATAATACTTTGTTCTCATATTTCACTGCGTTTGTCACATCGGTAAGCAGCTTAATGAACTCGCTATAATATCTAACTCAGATTTAGTAAACCCTGAGTGAATAAACTTGAAAACAGAAAATCAGCATTAAGGTTGAACCGTGTAAACATTGTCATCAAACTAGAAGTTGATTTCTTCCAGTCATGTAGGTATGAACGTGAAAACAAACATCCTTATCGACTCAACAAGCAGCAGTATCAGACCTTTGGATTCCAGGAGATACTTTACATACTTCTTCATTGAGTCAAGACATCAAACTTCAGAGTGGTTGTACTTGCCAGGCTGTTGAAACAGTGGTCCAAGAAAACCAGCAGCACAGTTTGTTCCTTCAGAGTGAGAGCAGCATCCTCCCCTGCCAACACAGCCTCCATCACACATTTAAAGAAGAACGGGAAGTGGCTGGGCGCCCTCTTGAACACCTGATAGAAAAAAAACAAACAAGAAGAGATATGAATGTGATGAAAAGGTGAAGAAACAGTCTTTAGTACAACCTAACATAGATATGGTTTTGTATCTCTTACCTCCCACGCTGGAACATTCTCTCTGAACTTTTCATTGACGATGCAACATATGGACATGAGGTAGGCATTGCTGGACACCTCAGGAGTGTAGTTCACCCAAAGGTAGTTCTCAAGATACTGGCTGAAAACGGGAGATAATGATGTATGAACATCCACAAAGCTGTCACGCAGCTTCTTATGTATTTGGTTTTTAAAAATAATGACAGAATAAGAGGAAGTAAAACATCTTACCTGAACTCAAGCAACATGATTTTTCTGATGGCAAACCTAAAAGTTTAAAAAACAGTTTAGTAAGGTCTGGTACAAAAGGTAAAAATAAGTCTGTTGGTGTAAACACAGCAGCTCTGAGTCGAATATGTATTGATGTACTTACTTTGACACGAGGATCTCTTTCTTATAAACATCTTCCATCACCTAAAGCAGCAACAAAGAAAGTTAAAATAATAAGAGGATTAAGCAAACACAGAGAAACCCTGAGGGAAATGATTCAAAGTAAATTCAGATTGGAATCAAAACACATTTGATGAAGACGATGATTAATACAGATAATAAAATATGTGCTGGAAAATGTGTTTTTTTAAAGTACTTCAACAACACAAATTAGAGTTATGAAACCCAGAAGATGCAGCAATGCATTCGACTCACCTTGGGGTCAAAGGGTAGTTTGTTCTTTGCATGAGGAGCCCAGTATTTATTCGCCAACTAAAACAATAAAGAAAACATAGATAATGGTTAAACCTGGCAGCAGAACAACACTAAAGTTCATAAACACACAAGTTCAAACACGACAACCTACACCGACACATAAGTTCATTGAGCAACAAGAAAGATGGTAGACTAGATTATATAGTAAATAGACTTGAACAGCACTTTTCTAGTCTGCTTACTACTCAAAGTGATTTAACACTAAATGTCACGTTCAGCCATTTCAGATACTGATAGCAGAGGCGGTATAGTGTCTTACAAAGGACTAGAGTCCAACCGATTAATTGGCTAAGCAATATTATCAGGCCATATTAGCCTAACCAGTGACTATCTGTATCGGCTAATTTTACCGCAGATATGCTCCGATATTTATTTATTTATTTACTAGTCACATAGTATGTTATTTGAGTATTACACTAGCAGTTCTCTTTCTAGCTGTCACCAGCAGAGTGTGCTATATGGAGTACCACAAGTATAGAATAGATGTTTATTGCCATTTGCACAGGTACAGGACAGTACAGGCACATTGGAATTCTTGTGCGTTTCTCCCTGAGTCAGCCTCTCCAAAAAAAAAGTTAAAATTATATATAAAATAGAAAAGCATTGTAAGAAAAAAAAAAAGAGTAGAAAAGTACAAAAAAAGTAAAAATAAACCAGTTGTAGTAAGAGCTAAGTGATTTAAAATAAACTGTACAGAAGTTATACACTGTATTAAAGCAAAGATATAACAAAAAAAATAACAAGGGGAACACTGTACAATGAAATGAAAATATAAATATGTTTTCTTATTGCACACATATTTTTCACATTATATAATTACACTGTTATTTGTTTTTAAGGTTAACATTGCACAACTAAGTATTATGAACCTCCAGATTGAAAAGCAGTTATGCACGTACTTGCACAGTTACCTTCCAGCTGAGTGATCAAACTTGTGAAAGCAAACTTAAACATACAAGATATTTTAAATATCAGTGTATCTGATAGGAAAGAGGCTTTGGAAAGTACCAGAAGCCACTGAAGTTGGGATTTTATGGACACATTGTTTTGTCAGGGGGGGGGGGGGCATGCCTACTAAGCCCCCTAGCTGGCATCTTTTTTCCCCCCACTGGCTGACAGCTCCATATGTTTGTAGAAAGCCATGTGTAGCAGAATGGCACAAGATGCAATTACTCATAATTCATCTTCTAAAAAGTAAACTCAGGTTCCTGTACCAATCTTATAACATCATTACCACGATGACTGACAATGAGGAGTGTATCAGTATTCTGGATATTACAAAAAGCAGCATTAAAAAGGCACATGAACACTAAGCGTACACCTGTGTAGGATACAAAACAAATATTACCTGTGTGACGTATTCTGCATTTATCTGGGACACTGAAGGAGCTGCAGCCTTTTTAGCCGGCGTTTCTTTCTCTGTTGTGGCCATCTCAAGCAGCTACAATGACGCCTGTCAGAAAGAGAGAGGGATTACATGGTTGTAAACAAAAGGGTAGCCACTCATTGAGACCCCAAAAAAAGCATTTTCCCTTTCCTGTTATGTTCTGGAGTCATTTCTGAACGTGGCCCCTCTACTCAAAAACACAGCTAAGAAAGTTAGCACGCTAAGTGAAGTTTAAGTAAGAAGAAAAAAGAGGGAGCGTTTGTGTAGTTTTGAATTACATTATTATTTCAGTGCATTTCCGTTTCTTTTATTAAACTAAAATAGGTTCTTAATTTCCTCCAGCGAGTTTTCTTTTTGCATATCGTAGCAAATAACAAAAGTAGTAACGCTACTTAACGTTAGCTCGTCACCATGTAAGCTGATGAAGAAGCTTTAAGAAGACAGTTTAGAACTTACTTTAGATGATAACGTAACCTTTTGATGCCGAAGTGACGTAAATAAATGATAATGTGAGCTCCCAAGCTTTATTTATATCTCGACATTAGTCTCACTGCTGCTGCACCGCTGTTGTGTTACGCATGTACACAATCAAAACGCGCTGAATGCGACTGACTTCCTGGTGGGGTACGTCGCGAAATCCGTCCCCGGGTACAAAAAAAAAAGAAAAGAAAAACTTGGGTTCCGTTCCTCTGTGAAAGCGACTACATTGAGAGAACCAGTGTCATAATACTTTTGTTTATGGCCCGAAAAATACACCTTACTACCTTAAAATGCAACAAAAAACACTGGCCTGTATACTGCCCTACAAAGGCAAAAGACCTTAACTTGCCAGAGTGTAGGACTGAGAAAAATGACTTTAAAGTCTTTTTGTTGTCCAGCCAAATGAGTTGCAGGCAGAATATTGGAAATTTGGCAATTCTGTCTTTTCAATGAGGTTATTAATGTTCATAAAAACATGACCTTTGACCCTTATTTGGAAGTTAAAATAACACAACCAACACTATTTCTTTGCTACACTTTAGTCAAGCTACTGTGTGTGTGTGAGTGCTTGATGACAGATATTAAAACAAAGGCATAACACCTTAACTCCACTGCAGTAAAACAGTAACTTCACTTTGATCTGCAGCAAAACAAAGGCAAAGACCCTTATAAGTGAAGTTACTGGACTCTGCCTTGGTTTCTTGAGGGCTTTTGGAAGTTAAGGAAGTTAAAGTCTGTTCACATAATAAAGCACATCTGTAATGTTCCAAAAATGACAACAACTCATTTTTGAAAAAATTGAAGTTACCGCCTTTTGCCTTTGTAGGGCAGTATAAGTGATTGTGAAAACAAATAATTAATTAAGAATGTCAATCTTATTCACTCAGTTGAAACCATAGACTGTAAATATTACATATAAATACAGCTTAGACAAAAACAAAAAATTGCAGAGTAACATTTTTAAAATCAGTGAGTAAATTGGTGTAATTTCAGATGTGCCTATTTAATTATATAGGCCTACGGTAAATGCGTGCCAAAAATATCCCACCTAAATGGCCTTTGATCAGTCTGGATGACACAAATGCTGTGAAACCAAGGTTTGTCAGTGAAAGTCACCAAAGAACAATTAAAAGGAATCCTCCGTCTATAGAAGAGAAAAATGAAAGAGGGAAACAAAAGGGAAGAGGAGAAAGTGTCGGGACACTGGCAGACATAATGTAATGGTGATGAACGCTGGTTGGAGGGCCCCCAAGTTGTTTTTGCCTAGGGCCCCAAAATACTCTAGAATCGCCTCTGTGCAGTTTTCTGGTAGTTGGTTCAGGATACATGGGACATAAAAACTGAACGCCGCTTCTCCATGTTCTGAATCTGGGGACAGAAATCCGACCTTTCCCAGATGACCTGAGAGTTCAAGATGGTTTTTACTGTAACAGAAGGTCACTAATGTATTTTGGCCCAATATGTACTTTTGAAAAGCTCACTGACAAGAGGAATGTCTCTCAGAGTTATCCTGTGATGGGAAACCAACCCTGAGGCAAAGATGCTGCTCACTATTCACTTTAAGTTTTCTGATGATCCCCTGTCAACTTTCTGGATTAGATGGTTTAATGTTCTTGTGCCAAAACTCTGCTTCCTTTTCTCAGACACTTTAAAATATTTCTGACGTTAACAAACTCATACGTGGGAATAATTTCCCATTAAATTGTCTGTTGTCATTCTGAACAAATACCGCAGAAGGGGTCTGATTTATGGATTTCACAGAGACTGCATCACTTCCCCTGTCTTTCTTAGAATCCCTTTTCAGTACTCTCTGACTGGAACATCTAACTTTGTGTCAAACCCACCAATAAAGAAGACGGACAATATACTATGATCATTGTTTGTGCTGTCTAGACCACATGTGAGTGTTAAAAAATGGACCTCCAAGTGTTTTCTGACAAAATCCCTGCCCCATTCATCACAGCCAAAAGTCCCATGTCTAGTGTGAGTTATGATGTGCCATTTGAATTTTGATAGAGGGACATTTGACTTGTTCATTTAACACATACTGAAATGATAGAGTCTTAATGCTGAGCTCCTTTTTTGTGGCATGGCTGGTTTCCCTCTGTTGTTCTGCTTTTGTAATTGACTCCTAAACCAAAAACAAGTGAACCCTTGTACTCACTCCAATTCTAACTCCAACTTTCTGGCCCTGACAGCGATGTTCAAGTCAGAAAAGAGTTGACTTTCAGACTTCCCAAAGAAACATTTTGCCATTATTTAAAGTTTGCACACCACAATTTCAATTGGTTCTTCTAAAGATCCCAAACTTGACTAGTTCAAAGTTAACTATAGCATAAGAGCAGACGAATAGTTACTTTGTGTGTGTGTGTGTGTGTGTGTGTGTGATGACTTGTGTGCTAATTGATGTTTGTTTTGCGGTGTGTATGATTTTATTGATTTGATTCTGTATCTTATTCATGACTACAGACAGTGGCGATTCTAGAGTCTATTGGGGTCTTGGGTGAAAATCAATTGGGGGGGCCCTCCAACCAGCATTCATCACTATTATGTCTTCCAGTGTCCCGACGCTTACTCCTCTTCCTGTAGACGGAGAACTCCTCTTCATCTTTCTTAGTTGGCTTTCATTGAAAAACATTGCTTTTCACAGCAATAATGCACCCAATACTAGCAGGTCAACAATAGTGATACTATCAGATGGGGTCCCCTTAGGGAGGTTTCCCGTGTGCACTATTTGGGCCACTGCTTTGGTATAAGTTTGTGAGCTCTCATGGGCCCCCTACTGGTCTGGGGCCCCAAGGAGGTGCCTGCCTTGCCTGTTGACAAGCAGCGCCTCTGACTGTAGAAACCATTTTTGGTTGTATGCTGTGTTTTTAAGTAAAGACTATACTGCTTGTGTGTAATGGCTGTTCTGACTTTACAACTGAATCTGACTTGGTTTCAATCAATCACTTTTTATTTGTATATGGCCAAATTCATGACAAATGATATCTCAAGTTTCAGCGCTGTCATTATTCTTCTTTGGTTCCACTGAGGAGTCAGCAGGAGTGTGATGACTGGCCTGTTGATGCTAAGAGAAGACCGTGGCTGCAGACCAGAGGATTTATAGGCATTTCATAAGCATTTTTTTTTCTCCTTTTCCAACTGTGCGTGGAAAACCACAGTCTGACTCAGTCACTTTAATAAAAAGAGTAATTACTAATGTGTGCATCTCTGCAGCTGGTTAATCTGAATCTAGTTTGTTGTTGTTTTTTGTTCAAATGTTCTCAGCTGGACGATCTGTAAAAAGTCTTGAATAATGGACATCCTGCAGCTTCTTATTAAAATGTTCAGACTGTGGTAACCGCACTATAACTTTGATCGGCTACACATGACAGATATTATACACTTGCAGCAGTCCTTAACCACAAACAAAAAATGAATGTTACATCAGGCTAGCAGCTAGCTCTACTGGTAAACATAGGCTATGAACTCTGAAAGTTAAAACTACTCTTTATATTTACAACCATGTAATCACATATGTATTCATCGGGATTTGGCAACCTCTTTGCTTTGAATAGACTGGGTAAACACTGGACGGACTCTCAGTGACGTCAGCCACTGGTTTGTGAAGTGGAGTTTTGCAATATTTGCTAATAGCTACTACGTCAACGGCTGTAAGTCAGATCTGCTGCACCCCCCCCATTGGGCATAACTCTTAGCCTCAATATAATTAAAACAGATGAGGCAAAATAGAGACACAGCAACAGACAGTAAAAGAAGACCATTACCTAAAAGTCGACACTGAAAGATAAAACAAAGGCAAGTCTAAACAAATGGGTCTTCAACTGCTTTTTAAAATGCCCACTGAGTTCACAGCTCTCTGTTCTGGTGGAGGCAGGTCCAGAGTTCAAGAGCTACAGCCTTAAATGCAGTCTCCTTAAGTTTCTATAGTCTTGTACGTGGAAAAACCAGCAAACCCTGATCAGAAGGCGGACAGGAAGAGGACCTCAGAGTCCTGGTGGTGTTGTACTGCTTCAGAAGTTCTTCAGTAAAAGAAGGTGCTTGACCATGCAAAAGTTCTGAAGACTAAGAGTGTTATAGTAGTTTCTGAATTGAATCAGGATCCAGTGCAAAGCCATGAGACTGTGTGTGACATGAGACCTTATAGAAGATTTAGTCAGGAGCCTAGCAGTACACCTTTTGAACACTTATAGGCGGTTCAAAGAAGAGTTGCTAAGACAACCTTTAACATGCTGGACCAGAATCAGAGCGTGGCCTATGAAGACACCAAGGTCACGCAGGGCAGCATTAAGAACAGAAGACAAAGATCCAAGACTCCTCAACAAATATGAGCAGCCGATATAATGACAAATCATTTCAAAGTGTGGAACCAAATATTTGAATTATTTTTTTTGAAAGCTTTTAAGGTGGGTAGACACAAAGGAGAACTGTTTGTTCATCAGAAAGGGGCAAGGCCTTAATTTATTAAAAACTATACCAACAACTAAATAGATAATATTATGGATTGTTTAAAAAAATAATTTGACATTAAATTGTCTTAACAAGTAGTGCGCAGCTTGTATGTTATAAAATGGCATTGTTTACAATGACCACTAGAGGGCAGCAGACACCACTCAATAGCATGTGCGGGTGGCCAGTTCAGTAGACAGACCAAGTTTCATATAATCAGTGCTGCAACCATAAGAGACGTGCTTTCACTGTGTGTCAGCTGAAGAAAACAATACATTATGAAACAAACAAGGGTTCAAACATGAACACAAGCAAAACCACAGCAGCCACTGAGGCAAACAGACCACAATGTCAGGAGGCGTCCCGTGCAGCGTGGCCGCTCCTGAGCTCCTGGTCGCCTACTGTAGCCTTCACTGCTGTGGGGAAAGAGAGTCACACACATCAGCCTAGTTAGCCCGGAGGAAGAAACACACAGTTAAAATCCATGTGCAAGGCCACAATGACAAGGGCCGCAGGCTGGTACACAAAGGACAACGGTAGCCACAACAGCCAGTTTGTTTGCAGAGCGGTTGCAGGTCAGCTTGGTAGAAAATGTACATTTGACGCAACACACGAGAGAACTAAATGTCACCCTGTCTTTATTCATTTTGCGAGGAAACACAGTGGTAAAAGACACAAAGA